CTGGCTGTGCCTTGCTGCCCCCACCTTTCCCTGGCTCGGCTCTGGGTTCCACAGATGACATGAATGGACCATAGCCCTGGAGGGTGGTCTCTGGAGGGTCAGGGGCCCACTCAGTCCCACTTAGGGTACCACCACCAGGCAGGCTGCTGTCACCAAACAGCAGCCCGAGAGGCAGCCCCACACTGCCTGAACAGGGCTGGGGCAGGTGTGGGAGCCAAAAGCACATACATGGACCTCAGACCATGAGTCTCAGAGCAGCCACAGGTGGGTCTTTTGCTTAGAAAGTTCTTCCAGGGGCTAGGCCTAGGGGCAAGCCAACACCACCTGCCTTCCCCAGAGGACAGTTCTGCATAGGATCCCATAATAGAACCCCGCCCTACATCAGCACCCTCCCTCACAGAGGCTCTAAGTCTGGGGCCGGGGCTAGAGGGAGAGGGCAGCGCAGGGAGTGGGGGAAGGCATGGGCAGCCAGTGCACCCACGAGGGAGACGCCCCCCACGCTGCGCGCCGCAGCCCAGCCCCGCAGTATAGGAAGTAGTGAAGGCTCTCTGTCAAGCCCCCAGCTGATGTTGCACCCCAGCTCTGAGCAACCCCAGGCCTGTGTCTTGATACCCAAGACCCCAAGGGCTGGGCAAATGTTTCGCGGGAGAACCCACTTCCTTGCGTCAGACGCTCGGACGTTGGAGACTCAGACAACCTGCTCTACACCTCCAGCCTAGGCAGCAAGCAAGGACATCTCCAGGAGACCTCAGTCCGACCTCAGTCTTTGGGCCCATTCGACACACCTACGAGTAAGCTTGCCCCTGTGCAAGTAGGACAGGTGGCAAGCAGATAAGACTTGGGGGTCTTATGTTTGCTTGTTTGTTTGTAACCAGACTGGCCCTTGGACTTAAAACCGGTGGTGTGGGGGGGGCGGGGGCGGGGGCGGCTTCCCTCTGAACTGAGCCTCACACTTCCGCTCATATGCTGCCCCCTGCTGGCCACCTATCAGCATGTGTTCAACCACCGTTTAGAGTGAGGAACAGTCTGAATGGATGCAGGGTCTGCATGCTCTAACACTATCCACTAGTCCTCTATTTGTGGGGAATTAACCCTTTTGTTCAGGGGCTCTAAACATGAGGGTTCTAAAACTGGTTAGAATTCATGAGTCCATGAATTTGAATAAAGGAATTACACCTTCATTTTCACTCATCTCTACCTCGAATTTAGCATTTCTCTCAATTAAAAAATGTCACCTATGGGCTTCCCTGGTGGCGCAGTGGTTGAGAATCAGTCTGCCAATGCAGGGGACACGGGTTCGAGCCCTGGTCCAGGAGGATCCCACATGCCGCAGAGCAACTAAGCCCGTGCACCACAACTTCTGAACCTGTGCTCTAGAGCCCATGAGCCACAACTACTGAAGCCCGCGCGCCTAGAGCCTGTGCTCCACAGCAAAGAGAAGCCACCACAACGAGAAGACTGTGCTCCGCAATGAAGAGTAGCCCCCGCTCGCCACAACAAGAGAAAGCCTGCGCGCAGCAATGAAGACCCAATGCAGCCAAAAATAAATAAATTTATTTAAAACAAAAATGTCAGCAACGGGGGGGCTTGCCTGGCAGTCCAGTGGTTAAGACTCTGCGCTCCCACTGCAGGGGGCACGGGTTTGATCCCTGGTTGGGGAACTAAGATACCGCAGCGGGCCGAAAAAAAAAAAGTCAGCAATAAATCACAATAGCTTTTCACAGAATCTGTGACTTTGTCATTAGTAGAGAAATCACAGATGTTTTCATATTACATTACAGGTATTGCAGAATATGTATAGATCTCTCTATATAGTTTTTAATTCATAAAATATATAGGATTACAATATACTTTATGTACGTAAAAACTTTATTGGGTCTTCCCTGGTGGTGCAGTGGTTAAGAATCCGCCTACCAATGCAGGGGACACGGGTTCGAGCTCTGGTCCGGGAGGATCCCACATGCCGCGGAGCAACTAAGCCCGCGAGCCACAACTACTGAGCCAACGTGCTGCAACTATTGAAGCCTGCGCGCCTGGAGCCCGTGCTCCGCAACAAGAGAGGCCACTGCAATAAGTCCACGCACCGCAATGAAGAGTAACCCCCGCTTGCTGCAACTAGAGAAAGCCCGCGCACAGCAACGAAGACCCAACACAGCCAAAAATAAAAATTAATTTTTTAAAAAATAAAAAAAACCAAAACCTTATTGTCCACAGGCTTCAGTAGAGACAACATTGGGTCCATGACACACAAAAAGTAAAGCACCCTTGCTTTAGTTGCCAGGTGGTGGGGAAATGGAGGGTGGCTCTCAGGGGAGGGGCCAGCCTGGGGAGGAAGGCACTAGAGGCTTGGGACAGCAGCTCTTCACCATCTGGAAGGGAAGCATCTCAATATTTTACAAAAGGTGTGGCAGTCCCCATGTGCACCCCGGCTCCAGCCCAGGTGGGCACGTGTGGTGGGTCTCCCTGTAGAATTTGGGTTTTCCTGCTCAACCCAGGGGTGAGGTCCTCGTGACACCCCTAAGGAGTCAAAGCAAAAATATCTGGCTGACTTCAAAGAGACAGAATCTGAGGCCCAGATCTGGCAAGGTCCAGGTCAGCCTTCAAGGTCAACAGCTCGTCATCACCAGAGCCAGGACTAGCCCCACCTGGCCCTGTCTTCTTCCTCCTTCTACTGCCCAGGGATCCTCTGGGTTCCCAGGAAAAGTGCCAGGAACCAAATGCATCAAGTTGCACCGTTAGCAGTAGGAACAGTGCCAGAGGCATGAAGACTTAAAAGGAGGCAGGGTGCCAAGGCTTCTCCCAGCCAGGCTCCTCCAGGCCCAGGGGACACAGACCTCTTCAGATGAGGGCCTCTTTGGTACATGCTCCAGGGATGAGGACCTCAGAACAGGGGCCTCCCTAACCACCTGAAGGTGGAAGTACAGCAGGCCCGATCCAGGACCCCAACCTGATTTGATTTAGCAGGTGCAGTGAGGACTGTTAGCAGAGTGGTAGGGGAGGGTTTTCTTCCTGACACCTGTGTTGGCCTAAAAGTCTCTCTTGCTTGCTATACCTTCTCTGTATACTTGTAACCTCCAAAACAACACTTCCAACTCCAAACACTTGTATACCTGTACAGCCTCATCTGCAAACCAAAACCCCCTCCCATCCCACGCCCCTTCCTCCCCTTTGTGACAGCTGACAGCTGCTGACCACTTACTTCTTGGTGAAATTCTTTCTTCCCTCAGTTTTAACACAGCCTGCTCCCAAACAGGCTCCTGCCCTCACCTCTCCAGCTTTTCTTCCTGTCTCCATCACTGGTTCCTCTCCCTCTGCCCTGCTCTCAAATGCTCATTGGCCGTCCCTGGGGTTACACACGCTCATTCAGTGACCCTCCATTGTGAGGGGTGGACGGTTAGCACTGAGTGTCCCATTAAGTGGAGCACATTTGGCATTCCGGTCCCCTGCTCACTGAACACCAGTAGAGCCAGGTAGCCACCATCACAAATGCTTGAAAATTTAGGACGACTTTGACAGGAAGAGATGAGGGAAGAGCATTTAGGCCCAGTGAACGGCATAAAGCAAAGGTTTGGAGGCAAGATTTATCAGCTACATTCAAGAAAGTGAATATTTACAATGCGAAAGACCCGTGGAGCCTTGTGGTTCAGGTGTTGGGGCTTCTGACAATGGTGGGCCACTGAGGAGGGCTAAGCAGGAATGACCTAGCCAGATTATCTCTGGCAGCTGAGTGAAGGGTGGATTGGAAAGAATGAAGCTAATAATAGCCAGTATATATTGAGTGCTAGGCTCAAGCCTGGGTGCTTTATATGTGTTGACTTAGACTGCTCACAATCAATTCTGAGGATTATACCCATTTTTCAGAAAATGCAGGCCCAGAGAGGTTAAATTGCACTGCCAACATTGCACAGCTATTAAGTGGCAGTGTCAGGATGCAAATCTAGGCAGTCTGGCTCCAGAGTCCACATACTAGCGTAGTAGTGGCAGGGGGATGTCGAGGAGTGTTAACTGTAGGAATTCGAGTGAGAGGTGAAGGAACTGGAGAGAAGTAGATGAAGTTGAGATTTTTAAGAGGTGAAATCTCCACGACTGGTGACTGATTGGATGGAGCTGGAAACAGGGAGGAGTTGAGACTGAATCCCTTGTTTGTGCCCTGAATGCTGGGGTGAATAAGATTCTTCCAAGAATCCTCCCTAGGACCCTCGAAGCAGGACGACTCTTGCTCCCCTGTATGCCCAGTTCATCTCATTCTAGGGACAGGTATTTGTTCCCTGTGTCTCACTCATTTTAGAATCCCAGAGTTCAGCCCAGGTCCTGGCCCCCAGCAAGTGCTCCACAGAACCCAGTTGAATTCCAGCCCTTCTAGGCCCCTCAGGGTTAGATGAACTCCTCAGCCCAGAGAGGGAGAGGGCAGACTAGCGCCACGTGTGTCCAAATTGGCGCTTGGAACAGTAAGCTGTAAACCCTGCAGTAAACTCTCCACCGATCTCAGTTCCTGAATTTCCTCCATTAAGGAAACAAAGACCTCCGCTGGGTCTGGGGTAGGACTGGGGGTGATGTTATATGCAGGGCAGCCAGGCCAGAGGGCCTCCCCAAGGCAGCTGAGGGCAAGATGGCCCCAGGCCTCAGCCTTCTCTCACTGATGAGGGCTAAAAGGACAACCTAATGGTCCTAGTGGCCTCTGGGGGTCAGGGAAGGTGGGGTAGAGGGCAAGGCCACCTCCCCAACACCTCCCCTCCCACCGTAGAGTCGGGGGCCCTTGTCCCAGCCTCTCTCTGTTCTTCAGGGCTGGCTACGACTTTTGGCCAAAGCTTCCCCTCTCAAGGCCTGGGTCTCCTTCCTTATCAAAGGAAAAACCCTTTCCAGCTGCAACACATACTAAGTGCTGACTCTAGATGCCGGGTGGGGGTCAGGCTGCAGCGGGTTAGGAGACAGGAGGGCCCTGGGGCCACATCACGGCCCCCTCAGCCACCAGCACACGCACATGCTGGCCCACAACCAGAGAACAGAAAAGGAGAAAGAGTTTATTGAAAACTATATACAGTTGGTCCAACCCCTACCCCAGGCTGCAATCTGGGCAGGTCCCTCCCACACCTCAGGCAGGATCTCAGCCCCTGATGGTAGAGGCCGGGGCTGTGGTCAGGGCCCAGACCCCCTTGGGAAGCTTGACTGCCAGACCCCACAAGGACCTTCCTCTGTGAATTTACAACTCTAAATGGCCTGTCAGTGGTGGGCAGGGGACAGGAAATGGGTCCCTGCCCCGACCTACTCAAAGCCTGGATAGGGGAATACTATTCTGAAACTTGGGCCCAAGAGGCCCAGCTCGGCTGTCCGCAAGTACTGGCTACTCCTCCCACGGGAGGTCTTCCTGGCTATGGAGGCAAACAGCCCCCACCACCCCACCCCACGTGCCAGGCCCCATGGGCTGCACAGACTTGGACGGGGGACATCAGGCACCCGCCCTCCCAACACTGACTAAGGGTTCAGGGCTTCTGGAGCACTGCCCAGGCAGAAGACCTGGGGCTGACAGGTGAGTGCTGGGGTGGTCACGGCTGCGGGCCCAGGACCCTCCTGGGGTAGGGGCTGGTTTGGGGGTCAGGGCGTCCCGCTGTAGGAATAGTCTGCTTTGTTGTGCATCACCAGCCGGTCATCCACGAAGTAGAAGCTGTCAGACTGTGTTTCATATGGGTGACGAATCATCTCGTTGACTGCAAGAGAGACCCAGCCAGTTGGGGCAAAGGTCAGAAGCCTGAGCCAGGCCACTGCAGGGGCTTCAGGACTAGGGGACGCGGACAAGCTGAACAAAGAGTTCCCCCAGCCTCTTTGAGCCTCAGTTTCCCTACAGATGACACACGAATGGTGGCCGGACACAAGAGACCCAGGGAGGGAAGAAAGGGGCTCAGACCCACACTCCCCACAACTTGGTCTCTCTGAGTCCCCCTGCATCCCTCCCACAGGGCCCTGCCCACGCACTCAGCTCCTCAGAGAGAGGGGGGAAATCATAGATGTGCTCGCAGGTGTTCTTGCTGCTGGGGATGCAGAAGCCAAAGTGGAAGTCAAAGCTTTTGAGCAGCTGGTTGCGGAAGTAGTGCCTCTCAATCATGCGGAAGTTGTTGACAGGCTTGTCTCCCACTGTGAACTCCACGCTGAGTGAGAGAACGGGGCGGGGCTGAGCTGGGACTCAAGAAGGGCTCCCTACCACCCTTACCCGCACCTCAGCCCCCACCCCTAGCCCTCGCCCCGGCCCAGTGACTCACGTGGCTCCCACCTGCCTCAGGCGGAGGAAGGCAGGCGTGAACTGGTAGCGGACAAAGCGCCCAGCATTGGGGTCCAGGTCCCGTGGGTTGATGGGCAACCGCTCTGTAATGCACCCCAGCTGGGGCTCAGTGGGTTTCAGGCTGGGGCCCATGCCCACCCGGGCTTTCACCCCAGGGCCCGCATCTGTCTGAATTTTTCAAAACTCCTCAGGAGATCCTGATGTATATTGAGGGTTCAGACCACTGGCTGAATGCTTCCAATTGCTTCCAACTGGTCAGCGGGTCACCAATTTCAACTGAGATTCCCTGAGCCGCAAGAGACAAAAAGACCTGGGGCCTCTGGGACTGCAGTTCCCAAGGGGGCCTGCAGGGGGCAGGCTGGCAGGGACTGAAGAGGCAGGATTGTCTTCCCAAGATGTCTAACCCCAGGAGCACAGGGAAGGAAAAGAAGAGGCCCAGCCCCAGGCAGAGGCCCCCCTGCCTGGTGTCTCCTGAGAAGGCCTGGGTGCAAATCCCAGCTCTGCTCTGACTCCTCTGTAGCCTGAGGAGTCCCTGGGCAGCCCATTTCACAGCCCTCGCCCACCTCCCTCTGTTGATGACCCACCCAACCCGCTCACCTGAGGCTGGGGGCTTCTTGATTTCAAAGAGAACAGTGCCTGAATCCATGTCCCGAATCTTGAACCTGACGAAGTCAATCTTGTAGATATTCTCCTCAGGGGAGCACAGGTAGTCTAGGGGAGACGGGCGGCTGAGCAAGGAAGGGGCCTGCCCAGAAGCCCCTGCTGCCAACTCAGCTTTAGTGGAACCCTGAACTAGCTACCACCTTCCCTGCTCCTAAGGTCATTGCCTTGCAGAAAGAGAGAATTGAGCCCCCACCCTGGGGGAGCCCCCATAGTGTGCGGGAGACATAGCTCTGCCATTGGGATCTAATGGGAGACAAATCGTTCCATCCTGGTAGCCTCTGGGGTCGGGGGGGGCAGGGTGGAGGACAAGGTCAGCTTGCCAACACTCTGCCGCCCACCCAGGGGTTGAGGGCCCTTATTCCAGCCTCTGCTTTGCCAGGACTGGCTCGGTGACGGTTAACCAAATGAGTCTCTAATCTGAATGGGGAGCCCTTCCCCCGCCACCATGAGAGGGAAGATAGAGCCCTGCTTTTAGGAACCTCACTCTAACAGGGGTGACACAGCTCTACCTCGGGAGAGGATGCCCCCGCCCCCACCCCATAGCCACCCCTGGCACACATCTAGGTGTGTCAAACAAGGACTTTCTCTGACCTGGGTAGTGCTGGGGCAAGCGAACAACCCTTTCCCTATCCCTCCTCACCCCCCACCCCGGCCCCTCCTCTCCCCATAAGAGGCTTACACAAACCCAGCTCCCTTAAGCAGCTTAGCCAAAGCTCTGCTGACTCAAGCCCAGAGCCTGGAATATTGGGGGGAAGGGAGCCACCTTTGCTCCCATCCCTGTTGATCTTCAAGCAGGAGGAGGTCTTAGCAAACAGAGGGAACCCCCTCAAAGGTCATCCATCCAGCCTTGATGCTGAGCCACCCCCAGAGAGAAGAGTACAGGCAAGGCCAGTAAGAGGGTGTGGCAGGTGCATCGGGGGTGTGCATGGGGTAAGGGAAGTCCTCGAGCCCAGAAGAGGAACCAGGAATAGTGGTGGGCCCTGCTTGAGGAAGCTTAGAAATAGCAGGGCCTGATCCAACCCTCACCGCTCTTGCAGCAGCAACTGCAAGCACTCAAGGAGGCCCTGGCAGCAAATAGGAAGGAACAGAGAGGTGCAGTGGGGGCTCTGGTGCTGTCAGCCTGCATAGCATCACATCCTCCACGTAGAGGCCCGGAAATCACCCTCCAGGTCCCTAGACCACCTCTTATTCCTCTGGGGCAGGAAGAGGAAGTGAATGTAAAGTCATTCTCTCTCCCTCAAGCCTGGGGCAGCCCCCTCCAGGAAGCCCTCCTGGTAGCCACCTGGCACCTTGCGGTCCAGCAGGGACTACATAGGGCTTGTGGAGGGGCCTGAGCCCTGGCCTGCCCACCACAGCCCATGGTGGTGAGAGGAGAGGAGGATGAATGGAAGTAGGCAACTCCTACCTCACGCTGTACACACCTTATTTTCACAGAAAGTAAGCACTAATCCAAAGATGTAGAAGGAGGGTGCGGGGCATAAGGAGAGGATGCGGCAGAACTGGGAACAGCATCCTAGTTGCCCAACTCCCAGCTCCCCATAAAGCCCTCCTTCTTCCCCCATTCTCTAACTTCTGGAGCCTCTCCTCTCATTTGAGAACAACTTGCAGTATGACCTCAGTCTATTCTACCGCAAACTCAACCTATCAACTCCTCCGTCCTTAGAGGAAGTGAGGAACAGGAGAGGCCCATGGCTCAGGACACCACCCCCACTCCCTCCCTCTGCTAGAGAAGGATGAGGCCTGGGACCGAGGGTCAGGCCAGATAAGGGGCAGACTGGCCGAGGGCTCAGAACACAACTGCTCCCTTCCCCTCAGCCACAAAGAGCTTCCTAAGCTGGATTCAGGGCTGAGTAATCCAGGAACAAAAAACCTCAGACCTGTGCGATTAAGGTCAGAAGAGACCAGGCAGGGGTGTCAGTGAGGAGAGTCCTGGAGGCCTGTTCTCAACTTTTACAAAAGAAAGGGCTCCTGTGAAGACTCTTCCTCTGCTCATCTACAGCAGATGCCGCATCTCTAAGGGCTATAAATTTCCTCCAAATTCAGAGACACACGGTTGTACACGGGTTGGAAGCCCCCATAGTTGCAAAATAACTTCTAAAGTTACCTAGGACCTGGACAAGTTATACACCCTATAAGGAAGTTCTGCCCCAGAGCTAACCTGAATCCTAAATGCTGCTGTTGCCAATTACAGCCCAATTGGCACCAACATCGGACTGGCCCAGGCCCCCTCCCTCTACCAGTGCCTGCTTGGGTAAGGCAGCTCAGCGCTCTGGGGGCCTAGCCAAGAATGGTTGCTGCCTGGCTCAGAGAGACGGGAGATGCTGGTCCCCCGAGAACCCAGATGCACAGGCCTAGACCTGCCATCATGGTCTCCTCCACAGCTCTGTTTGGAAGCCCTGGGCTCTGCTGCTCCTGCAGCTCCAGAGCTCAGGTCCACTCCAGCATCTGCCCCCTACCCCCACAGGGGAGCCCCAAGAGTTGCTCTCTCAGAGGGAGCTGCGGCAGGGTTACAAATCAATGAGACCAAGGTAGTAGGCCACTCCAAACGCCTTCTGTTCTTTGAGGCTCAGCCACTGCCTCTGCCATGAGACTTTCCAGTCCTTGTTCCCTGCCTATGGTGACCCCCTCCCCTGCCCTGAATGCCCAGTTGTCTGCCTCTAGGCAGCAGCCATGAGCAGTCCTGTGGGGCCCTCAGCACTATTGATAAAAGAGCCCTATTTACAGGGCATGCACAGCATGCCAGGCATGGTGCAAAATCAGAGGATTTATTTTCACAATAGCTCTGCAAGGTAGGTATCATTATCCCCGTTTTACAGATGAATATGCTCAGAGAGGTGAAGTTATTAGCCCAAGGTCACACAGTCAATACATGGCAAAGTTGGAACTTCAACTTAGGCAGTCCGGCTCAGAAACTCAACCACAGTGGAGACCTGGCCTCCCAAAACAGGACAGGCCCTAGTCCAGGCTAAGAGTGGGCATTAACCCACTCCCTTGAGAGCGCCCAGAGCCAATCCACTGAACCTTCCTCCTCAGGTCCTTTCCTGGGGAGGGGGATGGCCCCAGAATTCCTGGGGTGTCCAGGGTGAAGGCATTAATGGTCGGGGAGAACTGAGGGTTTTGATACCACCCTAGTAACTCAGCCTCCATCTAGCCTCCAGGGTGGAGGAGACTGAGGGTAGACTGCACTCAGCCCCCTTCCTCATTATTGCAGAGAAAATCTTCAAAGGGCTCTGAAGACTCTGTGGGGAAGGGGTCACAGTTGCAGGTGTTGCTCCACTTCCACCTGGGAAAGGGGGATGGACTCCTCAAAAAGGAAGGAGTGGGGTGGAAATAAATCTCTAAAGGGACAAGAGGGACGCAGAGAGAGATCAAGGGAAGGGGGAACATGAGATCTCAGGCCTGGAGTCAGACGTGGAGGGGGAGTCAGACGTGGAGGGGGACTCTGGTGGGGGAGGGGAGGCGGGGGAGGGCGGGAAAGGGGGCGGGGGCCCGGGCTCCGCGCGCCTCGAGGGCCCCCTCTCGTGCTCTCCCGCTCCCGCCCGCGGGTGGCGCTCCCTCGCGGGTGCTCACCGCCCGTGATCCGCTGCAGCCCCAGCACGTCCTCCGGCCCGATCTGCTGCTTCCTCTGCAGCGGCCCCGGCCTGGGCCCCGGGCCTGCCTCCGGCTCCGACTCGGACCCGGATTCGGATTCCGCCTGCAGCTCCGTCTTGGTCTCCACGCTCCGGCCCGAGGCCCCTGGAGCGGGCTCCACCCCCGTCCCGGGCCCGCCGCCGCCGCCGCCCTTCTTCACCTTCATGGCCTCCCGGGGCCGCAGCCAGCTTGCTGCCGCGGCGGCTGCCTGCGCCGGCTGGAGCCGAGGGGAAGGGGGAGCGTCCGCAGCCCCGCCCCCGGCCGGGCAGGGGCCCCAGGTACCGCCCCGCCCCCAGGGTGGGCCCGGTACTGGCCCCGCCCACCTCCCGCCCACCTGGGCTACTCACCCGGGGCAGGGAGGCGGCCCGCCCTGGGCTTCTTTCATTTTTTCGATAGGGATTTTAAGGGGTTTTGGCTACCTTTTCCTTCTTACTCGCTGTGCTCTAGCCACTCCGCCCCTCCCTCTGCCCGCAAGCAAGTTCCCACCTCAGGGTCTTTGCCTGGGATGCTCTTCCCCCAGATGGCCTCCTCTTGTCCTTCTGGTCTCAGCTCAAATGTCATCTGCTCAGAGACCCTCTCAAACACCCCCAGGCACTATCTGATCAGCCTGTTTTTTCTTTCTAATGCATTATCTGAAATTAGTTTCATTTGCTCACTGCCTCCGCCTCCTAAAAGACCAGTTCGGTGAAAGTGGAGATCCTGTCTTTGTTCTCTATAATACCCAGCACCTAGCACAGTGCCCCGTGCAGCCTGTGCTCAATACCGTTGACCCTCGAACAACATGGGTTTGAAGTGCGTGGGTTCACCTATTTGTGGATTTTTTTCAGTAGAAAATACTACAGTACTACACGATGGGTTGGCTGAATCTCTGGATATGGAACTGCAGATCAACAGAGCCAAATATAAATTATACTCTGATTTTTGAATGCACAGAGGGTGGGCACCCCACCCCCGATGTTGTTCAAGGGTCAACTGTATGTTCTTTTTTTGAATTTATGAATCAGTTAGTATCTGAGGGCTTACACTGGTACAAGCTATTCTCTCCCAGACCCCCTGCTAGACAACCCAGGACATACCGAAGGACAATAGCCTACAATGTCCAGCCACCACAGGGCCCTCCAGGACATCGAGGCAAGAAGGGCACATGGCCAGGTGGAAGCAAAATGGACCAGTGAGCCCAGGAGGACAGACACCAGGAAACCATTACTTACACACGAATGAAGAATGAAAGGTATGCTCATACTTCATATCATTCCAATTCACATTCAACCAATGTTTCTCGAGAGCCCAGAATATACCAGATACTATCACATGCTCATCACATTTAATCCTCACAACCACCTTGTAGGGGAGGTATCATTAGTACTATTTTAACAAATGAAAAACTAAGGCTCAGAGAGGATTAAGTGGCTTGTTCAAAGCTCCCCAGATGATAAGTACAGAAGCAAGGGTTTGAATTCAGGCATGTTTAATCCCAAGTCCAGAACTTTCCCCGCTCACCACACTGCCTCTATGAAAGGGTGAAGGGAACCTCTGCCACACCCAGCATCAGGCTGCACACAACAGGTACAGCCAGCCAGGAGGGAGGGGAGTCAAGGAGAAGGTCCCAGAGGTGACAGGTGCTTGGCCCCTTCTACGAGAGCAGTGCTAGGGCTCTCCCTGAGGGGTTAGAGAGAAGCGTGGAGGGAAGGGCCCTAGAATCCAACCCAGGGCTTTCCCCTAATGCTCCCTCTCAGTGCAAGAGGACTGTGAGGAACAGGGCAGAAGCACAAGCTGCCCCTGCTCCAGAGGGAGACAGAAAAGGGCCTTCAAGTTCAGGCCGGGTAAGGAGGCCCAGATGATGTGTCTTTTGAGGATAGGGGGGTGGGGGGTGGGGGGATGAAGAGTGGGAGGGACCTGAGTCAGAAGAACGGGAAGGAGTGTTATACTTTGACTGCTGGAGTAGCAACAGAGCAGGCTGGAGACAAGTCATTTGTGGCAGGCCCCATTATGTGCCTCTCAATCTAACACCTCCCCTCCTGGCTGGAAAGGAAGGCTTCCTACTGTGATGCTGCCCTGCTCAGTCTATCTTCTCAGGCTTTTTCCAGGACTTGCGAGTCTCCAGGAAGATCTTGAACAGGGACAAGAGGATGGGCACAGCCATAGGCAGGAAGAGTGGGATGTAGATGGCAAACTTCTGGTCATCAGGGAAATAGAGGAGGTGGAGGAGCGAGGGATCAAAAAAGGCACGCTCTGAGGATGTCACAGCTTCCTGGCTGGCAACGAAGGCAGAGGCCAGGTGCCCAGAGGCCAACTCCTCCGCTGCCTTCTGGACTGCAGCTACGGCCCTGTACACCTAGGAAGGGGGCAGAGGGTTACCAAAACGTCCTAGGCATCGGTTGGTGGGGAGGGTGGGAGAGGGCCTCACTGTGTCTTCCGTCTACCAGGCAGGTTGCCTGGAGTTCGCCCAGGATATATGGAGGCCGGTAGAAAAGGGCTAGGGGGTATCTTCTTAGTGCCTGCTTAACACCTCACACCTGCACTTAGACTCCTTACTAGGGAGCTGGCACTGACCTCTAGAGGAAGCCTGGGCACTCAAGGATGGCATGCCCACACATCCTCTGGACCTCAAATGGCTCTCTGGTTTCACCACACCCTGGGCCCTGCTGGCCACTCCAGTCCTAGGCCACAGAATCCATCCCCTGCCTGCTTACCTCAGATGCCACATCGTCCTTGATGACAATGTTGCTGATCTTGCCCAGAAGCTGGGCCAGGGAAGTGAGAGTGGTGGTAGCTGTGGCCAGGTTCTCCACTGACCGAGCCCAGAGCAGCCGGTCCAGCTCCCAGCTCATTATCCCTTCACTCTTAGGCCCTGAAAACAGGCATTTTGGAGGCAACTGGGGCTGAGCAATCCCAAAGAGCAGCCTGTAGGAACAGCAAAGAAGGTCAAAGGGGCAGAAGGTGGGAGAAGATGGTCAGGATTCCTAGAATAACTATTAGGATTTTCGATCTCACCCAGAACCACAGGGGTTGTAGGAAGTGCCTTAGCGTCTCAGGGGGTGAGCAGCAACACTAAGTAACACAGAGCCCCAAGCCCCAATTTAACCAGTGGTTTTTCACTTTTACCTGTTTCTATATTGTTTCTATATTATAAGATCTTGTGTGAAAAAAGGTTCCATGGCTAAAATATTTCTAATTAACACCAACTAGTTTAATCCCCTCACCCTGTGTACCCTCTCTTTGGACAAACGGGGCCCCTGAGCCTTAGTTAAGGGATGATCCAGGACCACCTCTGACAAGGCATGCATGCTGTGCCTCTCTATTCCTGCACCATGGCAGACATTGCTAATCAATCAGAATCCTCTTTCCTGATGAGCCCAGACACAGCCTTAGAATACTCAACACAGGGCATCAGGAAGCCACTATCAATAGATTCGTTCGCACAAGAATTAACAGCTATTTTCTTAAGCATCCCTAATCACAGCCTATGGACCTGACATTCATGAGCCTATTTTTCCTAAAACGCTTTTTGTCAACAACTAGTCTTTCTTAAGAGAAGGATGAAGTGATCCTTGGAAACCTTTCTTGGTTTCCTTGGGGCTCCAGGCACAGCCAAGGTATCCCTGCCAAGTGAGGGTTTACTGCAGTCAGCCCAGGAGACTGTGGTCAGTCTCAGTGGCCTCGCCCCCAAGTGGATCCCCCAGGACCTCACCGCAACTGAGCCAGGAACACCTCCATCACCCGCACCATGTCCACCTTGACTCTCACCGGCAGCTCCGAGCCATTGTAGGCTTTGGGGTCCACATTGTATACCTGCAGGGGGAAATAAGGGTGCCTCAACATCACGCCAGGACCATGCAAAGCTCTACCCTAGACACTCTGGAGGCCATGAGAAGAAAGGAAGACATACTCTGTGCTCTTTAAAAATTACAAACCTAATATTTTTGGAATACCTGCTATTAGGAGCTTTATATAAATTATCTCCTCTACTCCCTCAAAAATCTTGTTAAAGAAATATTTTTAATTCCATTTTAAAGTTCCTACCCATGAGAAACTCCAATCTAACAGGGGAGACAACATTCCCAACCTTGTTAAGACTCCCACAAACAGGGCCAAGATCTAAGTTATACACAGAATAGTCCTAAGTCAGCACAAACTGAAAGTGCAAAAGGGTCCTACTATATAAACACTGATGGAAATAAGAAGCAGTGGGGCTGGCGGGGGGCGGGGGGGGGGGCACGAGCTCACAGCACCTCACCACCCGCCCCCAACCCAGGCTGGGCCACAGAGGACACCAGAGGAACAACAGAAGGAACAGTCTCAATGAACACCCCTGATGTTTGGGCTCTGGGGTCTCCATGGTGTGACCATACCATAATGCCACCCCAGCGGGGGCTGTGGAAGGCGTTGGTGGCCACTGGAGCCCCATCCTTGTCCTGAATGTACAGGGGGGAGTGGGCAAGCTCAGGAACATAGAGTAGAAAGTTGAGCACCGGGTAAAGGGAGGCAGCGCTGGATCCTGTGGCACAAAGAGAAGGGGAGTCAGCACACCAAACACGCTGGGTCTAGATCTTAGGTCTAGGTCAGCCTCTAACTTGCTGGTCACTCACTCTGGGCCTCATTTTCCCCAACTGATAATCACTAGGATATCCTCCAGGCCTGGGTTTCTGTGGTAAACAACCTCAGCATTCTCCCGAGATGTGCCACATACATGAAGTGCAGTCCTCAGCTTCAAACTGCCCCCAAATCGCCTCTCCTCCAACAGCCTCCCACCTTTTTCGGCAGTGCCATAAAGCAGTCCCTTGGACCTTGTAGGAAAGAAGGGAGGGAAGGAGGGAAGCAGGGAGGGAGGAGGAATTCGCCAAGGCCTCATGTGCTGCCCCACCCATACCCCTTGGTCCACACTGGCCTAACCCTGGTGCCTAAAATTCCACAACTAGTGATATACTCCCTTTGGTTTGCCTCTATTACAGTTCTACTGTACTGTACTACCTACTCTTCTGAGGTACCAGCGCCAAAATGAAAAACTGGAACCCCCGCTTCAAGGTTCCTCAGCCTCAATCAGCAGAACTGTCGATTCAAATTCTGCCTTCCTGTACTTCTGCTGCTGTCTTTCCTACACGTGTGGCCATATTTTTCCTGGATGGCTTGCAGGGAGGGAGACACAGCCTATCCATTTGTTTATAAAAAGTGTTGGGAATGTTTAATCAATGCTTTTCGATGTGACAGTGTGGAGATGGAGATATCAACAGACTATCGTGAAAAAGGAGCCTAAATGCCCAGCACCTCCTCAACGCCCTTGGACCAACCCAACCTGGGAGCCATCGCTATATATAACCCACCTCCCACTCCAGGCTGAGCCTTCAGGGTCCTTCCCCGGCCTGGCAGAAAGACCCTCATCGTCAGGAACTCACCCAGCCGGGACTCCACTGGGTTGATGACATGGGGGAGGCTGTGTGCGGCCAAATAATAGCTGGAGGAAGCTGGGTCAAAGCGGGGGTTTACCCCCAATACTGCGTAGTAAAGGATCTGTAGAGCAAAGAGGGAGCATACTATTTGTCTACTGAGCTATATTCCAATTTGTCCCCCCAAAAGATTTGAGGTGCCTTAAAAAGATAACCATTAGGCAGGGCAAAATATAAGAGACAAAAATCAAGGCCGAGAGAAAGCAGGAGTAGGGAAAAAAATAACAAAGCTAAGGGTAAAGTTAACACACTAAATCCAGGTTTTGAACACCACGTTATTTTACCAGGCCTTCTCACAGCCTAAACAAAGAATAGCATAATTCAGTGTCCACAAGATCAAATCAAATCAGTTATTCAGAAGTAATTTCTCCCACTACCAAGACCTGATAAAAATTTCTCCCACCTTTTCCCTAAAAGGACACTGTGTAATTCAGAAGACTACATTCATCACATCTTTATTGTTACTACATTAACATATTTCAGGAAGTTTTTTTGTTTGTTTTTTAATAAATTTTTAGGATGGCACAACTGGTGAATACAGTTCCAGAGGGAGCCATAAGGAAGTTACTTTTTTAACAAGCATTGACAAAACTCCCCAAGCTGGACACCAAGGAGGAAAAGTAGACCCCAGAACCATATACATACACAGGAATTTCCTGGCAAATCAGCAAGCTCAAAGAGCTGGAAGAACAGACTACACTTGTAAATGCCAAATATGGAGGGACTTGGAAAAGGATGGTGCAGCGGGGAAAAGGGCTCCTCAACTTGCTCCCAGTCTCACCTGAGAGTCCACAGAGAAGTTGCCCACAGCTCTGAGGGCATTCAGGAAGGGCTGCACATAGCGCCGGACAGCCCCCTCGATGTCCCAGTGGACGTCATGGGACTTGGGGTCAGGGTTGAGTAAACTGAAGGTGATTTCATAGCCTATAAAAACAGGAGTCAGGGAAGCCAGAGGCATCTGTGGATCAAAGGCAGCCTGTACCCCTGGCTGAGTTGAACTTGGTTCTCCTCTGAAATGGGGCTGGTTGCCATCATGGACGCAAAGGGAGGATAAAAGTGGGATGAGGAACACTGAGTGCTTTAAGAAAAAGATGAAACCACAGAAGAAAGGAGTGAAGCGTTTGCATGCAGATTCCCCTCCTGCCCCACTGTCTCCACATAATTCATTTCCCTCTCCCTTCCCGTGGCACAGCCTGGTCACCCTACCCAAGCTGGACTTGAGAGGCCGCCTCTTATCAGAGCTCCACTTGTCCTCTGGGAGGTGGTCAGCCAAGGCTGCAGCAAGCACGTCCTCAGTCAAAGACATGGCCTGGGCTACTTGGATTACACGGCGGCCAATGATGTTAAAGGCCTCCCGGTGCATTATCCCCCGCACAACTGCCATCCTCTTGGGCCCAATGTAGCTCATCATGTCCTATGAGGGGCAAGCAAGGGACAGAATGCCCACGGCTCAGGGAAGAAAGCAGAAGAGCACTCTGGCTCCTGTCTTTGAGAATCTGGCCTTTTGCCACCGACCAACAGGTCTGCACCTCTCTAGACTCATTGAGAACTATTATGTCAACATTTCTGAGCTATGGGTATATATGAGTGTTTTCATTCATTTCAGTTCCCTTCTCCTTCCCAGTTGACATAGGTGCAGGCAACAGCTATATCTTCATGGGCTGGAAACTAAGAGACGGCATGCTGAGCAAGAATAAACAAACAACTGGAAAGTTTGATATAAGTAAATGGCAAATGGCAAAGAGGCAAGTACAAGAATTTTCACAGCAGCATTATTTGTAATAGGATAAAACTGGAGACAATCCAAATGCCTGTCAGCAACAGAATGGATAAATTGTGATATGTTTATACAATGAAACATTAGACAGAATTTTAAATGAATGCATTAGATTCAACTAGACATATTATCATAGATGATTCAAACATAAAGGTCAAGCAAAATGAAAACTAGAGAAGAACATGCGCTTCATTACGGCATTTATATAAAGTTCAAAAATATATAAAATTAAACATATTGTTTATAGAGATATATGTGATAAAACTTGAAAGAAAAATATGAAAATGATACATACAAACTATGGTCACCTTTGGCTGCAAGGGAGTGGGATATAATCATGGAGATGCACAGGGCTGTATTATAGTTTACAAGCTAGGGGTGGGTACATGGATGTTTATTAAAATTTTCCTTCATCTTTGTGTAATAATTAATATTTCATTATAAATTAAAAAATAAAATGGTAGCTGGTACAGCTCCCACCAAACCTTTTGCTCAGAAACTGAAAAGGTCAATGTATTGCTCCTCATATTATCATCACAGCCCATTCAAACCAGCTTCTTTAACCCTATTGATTTTTTTTCCACTTTAAATTGCAACTTTAGGACTTCCCTGATAGTGCAGTGGTTAAGAATCTGCCTGCCAATACAGGGGACATGGGTTCGAGCCCGGGTCCGGGAAGATCCCACATGCCACAGAGCAACTAAGCCCGTGTGCCACAACTGTGCTCTAGAGTCCCCTGTGCTCTAGAGTCCGTGCTCCGCAACAAGAGAAGCCACTGCAATGAGAAGCCCGCGCACCTCAACGAAGAGTAGCCCCCGCTCACTGCAACTAGAGAAAGCCCACGTGCAGCAAAGAAGACCCAATGCGGCCCAAATAAATAAATAAATTTATTCTTTAAAAAAATGGAACTTTAACCACATACAAGCCTTGGATTTAGAAAGACCCAGAGTCAATGAAAACAATCTCTATTTGCATTCTTTTTAAAAAATACTTGAGGAGAGTTTTCTGTAGCAATCGGAAGGAATGGGCAGCAATACTGCAAGAAGGAGACTTAGGAGAGGACAAGCTGAAGGGAGAAGGCATGTCCGCAGCCTCTCTGCTCACCCTACCTGAGGGAGAAGTGAGGAGTGTTCAGAGATCACGTACACTGTCAGGGAGCCCTCTGCTTGCTCCGATGGCTCAGCAAACATGGTTTCTGCCTCTGGGGACAAGAACAGGTGGTGTACCAGGAGCGCAAACACCATTCCCTCTCCCTCTGGCTCCCACACGGTGCCTAACCCATCACTCCACCTCCTGCTCACACCCAGCTGACACTGTGGCCAGGCTTGGCCCTCGGTGGCCCAGGCTGAGACACAAGGTATCTCATTCCCAGCTTTCCCAGAGAGATTTTGGAGTTAAGACAAGTTATGGAGGGAGTCCCCTGGTGGTCTAGTGGTTAGGATTCCGGGTTTTCACTGCCGTGGCCCAGGTTCAGTCCCTGGTCAGGGAACTGAGATCCTTGCAGGACACACGGCACAGGCCCCCCCCCCCAAAAAAAAGGACAAGATATGGAAACTACACACTTAGAGATCAGAAGGAAAAAGAGGGCTTCCTGTTAAAATGATCACCCCTCTTAGTACCTTGTATACTGCCCAATGACAGGGCTTCCTCCTCATGATCCAAAGCCCTCCGATAGGCCTTCTGGAAACGGCATTTGATTTTCAATTTGTCTTAGAGAAAAGAAAGAAGCATGATGAGAAGAGCAAGTGTCAGACTCTGCCAACCCTTCCAGCCCTAATGCTGTCCAGTGTCCGAGGAGAGCAAGATGATTGTTTGCAGAGAAATACCAAGAAGCAACAGCCAATTCTAATGATTTCTGCATGGATGATATAAATACATGACACTCCACCTCTTCCACCTGCCCAGCTCTTGCCTCTCGCTGTGCACCTTCAACCTGAAGTACCCTCCCCACAGGGAAATCTATTACAATATTCATTACATTAGTAGGTAAAAGGAGGAAAACCATATGATCGTTTCAATAGATGTCTCAAAATAAACTCAGTGAACATTCTTGATAAAAATAAGATGCACACTTAATGACAAAACACTATAGTTCCATTAAAATTACCACGAAAACAAGGATGCCTGCTATCTCCCCTATTATTCAGCACTGTTCTTCCTGAAGTTCCTGACCAATGCAATAAGTGAAAAAAGAGAAACATGAATATTTGAAAGAGACAAAATGGCCACTTTTTGAAGTAGTATAATTATTTTCAAAGGGAATGAAAGAGAACCAACTAAAAAACTATTATAAGAAAATGCAAGAATGGGTAGCTTTCTAATAAATACCAGCAATATTAAAAAAGCAATATTTTTAAAAATCCCAATTGCAGTAACAATAAAGAATATAAAAATATCCAGGAATACATGTACAAAACTGTAAGAAAAAAAAAAACCAGGACTTTACTCAATGACATAAAAGAAGATCTGAATAAAATGGAAACACATACAAGGCTCCTAGATGAAAAAACTAAATATTCTCAGAATATCAATTCTCTCCAAGTTAATCTAAACATGTAAGGCAATCCCAAAGGGATTTTTTTCACCACCTGGAACTTGACAAGCTGAACCTAAAATTTATTGGGAAAGTTCTTCTTTACAGAATTCCAGAAGAATGCAGAAGAAATGGCAGAATTTAAAAATTGCCATTTTGCAACCTAATGAAATGGATTCCAGTATCAACAGATGCTAAAATCATCAGGTGAAAGGTTGACAGAGAACTAAAATACAGAAGTCAAGCTGACAATATCTGAACTAAATATCTTTGCATCACCCAAAGTGAAACAACCAGGCCACTACATGATATAACACGATAGGAAGTACAACACACCAACTGTGAAGTATTATTGCCTAAAAAACTGAACATGGGTAGTGTATATATGTCCATGCCACTCTGTCACTTCATCCCAGCTTACCCTTCCCCCTCCCCATGTCCTCAAGTCCATTCTCTACGTCTGCGTCTTTATTCCTGTCCTGCCCCTAGGTTCTTCAGAACCACTTTTTTTTTTTAGATTCCATATATATGTGCTGGCATCCAGTATTTGTTTTTCTCCTTCTGACTTACGTCACTCTGTATGACAGACTCTAGGTCCATCCACCTCACTACAAATAACTCAATTTCGCTTCTTTTTATGGCTGAGTAATATTCCATTGTATATATGTGCCTATATACAGTACCAAACGTAAAATAGATAGCTAGTGGGAAGCAGCTGCATAGCACAGGGAGATCAGTTCGGTGCTTTGTGACCACCTAGAGGGGTGGGATAGGGAGGGTGGGAGGGAGGCTCAAGAGGGAGGGGATATGGGGATATATGTATACATATAGCTGATTCACTTTGTTATACAGCAGAAACTAACACACCACTGTAAAGCAATTATACTCCAATAAAGATGTTAAAAAAAAAACAAAACTGAACCTGGGGACTTCCCTGGCAGTCCAGTGGTTGGGGCTCTGTGCTTCCACTGCAGGGGGCATGGGTTCAATCCCTGGTCGGGGAACTAAGATCCTGCATGCCACAAAGTGCGGCCAAAAAATAAATTTAGGACTTCCCTGGTGGCGCAGTGCTTAAGAATCCGCCTGCCAATGCAGGGGACACGGATTCGAGCCCTGGTCCAGGAGGATCCCACATGCTGCAGAGCAACTAAGCCCGTGCGCCACAACTACTGAACCTGCGCTCTAGAGCCCTCGAGCCACAACTACTGAGCCAACGCGCTGCAACTACTGAGCCCACGTGCTGCAGCTACTGAAGCCTGTGTACCTAGAACCCATGCTCCGCAAAAAGAGAAGGCACTGCAATGAGAAGCCCTTGCACCACAACAAAGAGTAGCCCCTGCTCGCTGCAACTAGAGAAAGACCGCGAGCAGCAATGATGACCCAACTCAGCCAAATTATAAATTAAATAAATAAATAAATTTTTAAAAATTAAAAAACTGATTTTAAGTAAACCTCTAGATCTAACTACCAGTTTATAAGAAATATGGATACTAGAGAAATAAGTTAAATGAAACCAAGAGGAAGAAATCTGCCAAATCCAGAATGTGAGATGTTCTATCAAACAAATGACCTGGGTTCTCCAACAAATCAATGAAAACAAGTACATTGGGATGGGGTAGGGAGAGCTGGTATATAATAAAAGAGACAAGAGACTTAAAATGGGGATCATAATGTTAGGATTAAATGAGGCAACACGTGTAAAGTGTTTCACCGAGTTTCTGGCATATAATGAACAACTAATATTAGCTATCATTATTACTAACTAGTGTTATCCCTCCCTCTCCTCCTTATTTAACTTGAATTCCTACGTATCCTTTAAAAATCTGGCTTAAAAATTACAGCTCTCAAAACCTTCTCTACCTTTCTTTCCTCCAGACAGTTATAGTCTCTTTCTTAAGTACAATCTCTGTTTCTTATATACTTATATACTTCTGAGATTTCTTTGTCTCTCTCCCCACCTATGAATTTCTTGAAACCAATATCAATTTCTTATTCACCCCCAAATTCCTGATACCTACGTGCCTAACACTCCGTAAAGTATTTAATGTTAAACTGAATAAGGCCTGTATGTAAGTCCAAATTGATTCCAAACCCTGTGTTCATTCCACTACATCCCACATCCTCCCCTATCCCGTAATGAGCATCATCTACTTCTGATCAGGTAGCACAACTGTTTTATGAATAAAACTGCCCCTTTAATGGCGAATAACTGAATTTAAAGCTGCTTTTTTTCTTAGCAAACACACTGTTCATTCAAAGTGGCCTTTTAATAAGTTTGTAATCACCTTTACGGGATACCCATGCTCCTCCTATCCAACCTATCTGCGGACTGAACTCAGACCAGAAAGGCAGCCCTGATCAGGAACTCACACTTCAGAGGGATCTCTCTCTCATGCACAACGGTGAAGGGCAGCTTTTCCTGGTCGTCCAATGGCACTGATTCCTGGGTAAACACGACAGTGACCGGCACCATGAGCCGGAGCTGCGGGAAGAAGCATCAGGGCCATCAGTGAGTCTCCATCTTGCCGGTGGGCTGTCCCCTGGTCCTCCACCACCGAAGTCTTACCTGCAGGGAATTCAGCCCACTGATCTGGGAGTAAGGCAATGGGGCCCGGTAGGTCTCCGTGGTCTTCCACCAGAGCGGCAGCCCCAGCACGATGACCACCGCGGCGAAGAAAAGGGCGGCGCGCTTGCCTCGAACCACCTCTGGGGACACGGAGGGATCCACTGAGGCGCCGCCAGAGGTGGGCTCGGGTGCCGGCCCCACCCCCGACGCGGAGGAGCCCCAGCAACCTGTACTCAGAACCTCTCAGGCCGCACTCGAAGGGATTCCCCGGCGAGGGGCCCGGACCCTAGTCTGAAGGGGTGCTGTCTGAGACGAACCCCGAACCCCCATTCGCGGGACCTCTGGCACAACACAGTCCCCACCCCCGCATTCCTCCCTCGCAATCCGCGAGCCGCAGCCCCCTCCCGAATGCCGCCGCACCTAGGTCTGTAGCTGCGGCCCCCGGGGCCGCCATACTCGCTTCCAACCACTCTTGCCGCCGAGGGGAGGAGCTGCGTAGGCCTCCCCCAATCGGAAACCCGCAAGGAGTGGGCGTGCCCACGGCAGCGATCGCGACCAATCACGAGCGGCAGTCCAGACGAAAACCGACGAAAGGTGGGTAGGGTGCGCAGAGAGCTTGGAAGGACGCTGACCCGGCGATTGAGGAGCTGTGCGGGTTTCGGTTTTGCTGGAAGACACCCTGCGCTTCCTTGTGGAACCCACTCCTAGCCCAGGGAATATGAGCGCAAACTCTGAAGTTGTTAAATACTAGCCGGGAGACCACGGGAAGCTGTAAGTCTCAGTGTTCTCATCTGAAAAATGGAGATTCTTGACTAAAATGAGGTCATTCATGGAAAGAGCACACGGAAAGTCGCTTATCACGATCATTGTTTATCATCCCTATTATAGAGCTCCTCTTTCGGAGGAGCAAGCTAATAGTACGTTTTTAGGCTATTTAGTTCATTTAGTATTTTTAAAATTCATTTGAATTCATTTACAACTTGTTAAAAGTCTGAATACCTCACTTAAAATTCTTGAAAATTCATGAGCACAGAATTTGGATGATCCTGATCACTTGGGTTCAAATCCCAGCTTCACCACTTTACCTGAGTGAGCTTGAGAAGTTAATTAACCTCTCTGTGCTTGTTTCCTCATATTAAAATAGGGATAGCAGGGAATTCCCTGGCGGTCCAATGGTTAGGACTCTGCAGGTGGCGTGGGTTCGATTCGGGGAACTAAGATCCCGCATGCCCCGTGACGTGGCCAAGAACGATAAAATTGTTTTAATAAATAAAATAGGGATAGCAATAGTATCTACTTTATGTAGAATTGTAGTAAATGAGTTAACAACTGTAAAGTGACTAGAATAGGGCCTGGCAGGAGACTGCTATGTAAGTTTGAGCTATTTTTATTAACACAAGATCAGGCCACAATCGGCCTACACACCCATATTGCAATAATTAGCTGGGCGGAGCATTGGTTGTGCACTTCACACAGAGCATGGCCTCCCCAGTTCACACAGAATACACAGCAGGTTCTCTCATCTTTTCATCTGCTCAGATAGACCCAGGTGCTCCACCTACAGCCCCACGTCCAAGCTAAGTGGTCAAAGTTCATTATGAGACTTCACCAGGTCTGCTCTTGCCCAGACCCTTAAATTGGTTCCCTCTGTGCCCCTATCTATCCCAACTGGGAGTGAGCAACAGCTCTCGGCAACCTGCTAGATAACCTGCTGTGTCGGGCATCGCTGAGCCCTGGGGATTTTCCCTGTTGGGCAACCCAGGTGCTCCTTCTGCAGTGGCTCCCCCAGGTGAAATGTGTCAAGCCTCATTAGGGCTTAACACAGCTGAGAGGTGAGAGACTCCTCCCATCGCCTCTTATCCCAGTTTGGGGCCATGTGCAAAAGCTGCGTTCAGAAGTAGCTTGAGTCCTGCCTCACTCCATCCTTCTGCACCTGCTGCCAAGTGCCTCTGAAGTGGCAGTTCCTGAAAGACTCACAGCCCTCCATACTGCCACGCTCCAGCCTCGGACATCAACAGCAAGAGCCTGAGCTGAGAATGGTGACTGGGTGTGCCCCTCCCCCCCCAAACTTAAAGCCCAGTAAAACTCAAAACCCACCCTCTCCACCTCCACAGTCAGAGAAGGCTCAGAGACAGTAGTCAGCAGAGATCAGAAACTGGGAGGTAGGAATTGGATGTGTAAAAAAGACAGACAAAGTAGCATGCTTTGCTACCATTTATTTGCTATGTGGTATGTACCAAAAGCATGAGTCAGCTCTGGTGCCCTAGGAGAGAGCACCAGGAGAGAGGGTGGGCAAGGAGAGCCCAAGGAGAAGCAACCCCGTCATGGGGAAATTGTGGGGGCTGGCAGAGGCACGGGGGAGACCCAGGCATCCTGCTCTGACTTCTAGCAAGTTCTCCTGCCCTCAGTCATGAGGGGCTCCCTATCCTCCCATCCAATGGTCCCAGGTGCAACAATCGGAGAGGGGAGGGGAGAAGAAAAAAGGAAGATGACTCAGTGCTGGGTGGAGGCATCTCCACTCTTCATGGCTACTTGGCCCTGGCCGTAACTACAGGCAAAATTGGGTGCAGGTGGCCGGGCTGAGGGCTGTGGTATGGAGTGGGTACTCAGTAGGCGTGGTTGGCAATGTAGAGGGATTGTGCTGCCGCTCCACCATCTTCTCCGCTGCCTTCATACTTGCCCTGGGCCGCAAGGCCATTCACCTGCAAAAGGAAGGGGGTAAGTAGGCTGACCCAGTCCACAGGTGCTGAACCCTCCCAGACTACAGCCTTTGGGTGCTGACCCTGCCTGGCTACACACCACCTCCCCACCCACCACCTCTAGCTCCCAACCTCGGCCCGCTTGATGAACTCCTCAGTGGCGGCTCCAGCATTATCCCGTTGCCCTCGCCAGGTGTTGAGTGCAGAGGCCTGCAGGGCACGCCCATAGGAGAAGGTGAGGGCCCAGGGCCGGGGAAGGGGGCATTGGTTGATAGCATTGAGGTTGAGAGATGCCTCCTCTTCACTCTGACCCCCAGACAGAAAGGTCACTCCTAGGGTGGAGAAGAGAAGACAAACTGATTGATCACTCCTTATTTTTCCAGGGTAAGGAACCCCTGGAGGCCACAAGAACGGGGGAAGAACGTGAGAATGGGTCTTAGGGAAAGGAACAGGTTTGGAAGCAGGGTGGTACCTGGGACAGCTGGGGGCACAGTGCGGCGCAGGGCAGTGAGAGTTGCCATGGCGATCTCCTCTGGGCTATACTTAATGGGACAGGCATGGCCAGGGGTCACCATGTTGGGCTTGAGCAGGGTCCCCTCCAGGTACACGTGATGGTCACTCAGGGCCTTGTACACCGCAGCCAGGACCTGGAGATCAGAGGAGGTTTACTAAGGTTCTGGGGCCCTGCCACTCACTACATTAGGTTCTCTGTCTAGGGCTGGGTGGGCATGACTGTGAGGGTGGGTACAGGTCAGACTCACAGGTACATTCTGGGAGCAAGTAAAAGAGTGCTTGAGGAAGGTGCCTGCATCTGAGCCAGGGACTGTGGGCAACAGGCTCCCTGTCAGGCTTTCTCTGTGGTATATGTCTGTGCCCAGGTGTGGACTCACCTTCTCTGTAACATACTGGCAACGTTTGAGGTCATGGTCTCCATCAGGCAGGATCTCAGGTTCCACAATGGGCACAATCCCATTCTGCAGGTAAGAGCAGAGTATCTTGGGATGGGCAGTCGGTAAGATGGAAGAAAGCCATGTAACCCTCTCGCCCCCAGGCACAGAGCACCCATCTGACCCCTGTCACACACACAGGCACACCTGCTGGCAGATGCTGGCATAGCGGGCCAGCACGTTGGCATTCTCCAGAACGGCAAGTGCTGAGGGCGTGCGTTCACTGATTTTCAGCACGCAGCGCCACTTGGCGAAGTCGGCGCCATCCTTCTTGTACTGGGCACAGCGTTCCGAGAGCCCATCCAGCCCTGCAGGCATAGTGCCAGCCTCATTACTCTGCTCCTCTTTGCCAGCAGCAACCACCCAACAACCCTGTGGTCCTGAAGCCCACCCCTCCTGTACCTTGAGTGGTGGTTTCTCCATCAGTTCCGGCTAGAGGCACTACACCCTTGTCAACCTGAAGGGGAAACACAGGCACAGAACTGAACCCAGGCAGGATTCTGCTTGCCACCCCTCACACCCACACACCTATTTCCATGCTCAGCCCCCATCCAGGGCCAGTGGCTGCACCTTGATGCCCACGACAATGCCCTTATCCTGGATGGTACGGACGAAGAGGACACCATTATCATCTTTCTGGTAGAGTGTCTCATGGAAGAATATGACACCTCCGATGCACTTCTTCACACGGTCATCGGCACTGAACAGGACCTGACGGTACAACCGGCGGTTCTCCTCTGTGTTCTCCACCCCAATTTGGCTCAGCCGCTTGGCCATGCTGCCTGGGGGCAAACAAAGTAGGGTGGGAAGGTCATCCCCAGGGCTCCCTGGATACTTCTTCCCCACCTGACCACAGGCCCCCACCTACCTACAGACTCATCTGCGGCCAGGATGCCTTTGCCTGGGGCCACAATCCGGAGGGCAATGTCGGACAACTCCTTTTTCTGCTCAGCAGAAAGGGCTGGGTACGAGTGGGGCATGGTGACAGTTCTGTGGAATGGAGACAAGGTATAAAAGCTGGACCCCACCCACTACCTCCTCTGCTTCCTCTCCTGTCCATATGGAGAGGAACGGCCTTTTCCTTCCACCCCAACAAGGAGGGGCTGGGAACAGGGCAGCAGCAGTCCTTGGCATGGGTCCTGGGCATTAAAATGGCACCAATCCCTCTGACAGCCAGCAGGCTCAGGGCCCCAATTCCCACATCTCCCTTTGTCCCTGCTGGGCACCCTTCCCAGCCCCAGGGTGGGGGTGGGGAGGTGAGCAGCCCCAAAGCTGCAGGTCTTCTTATGAAACTACTGCCCAAATAAAGATGCCAACCCTTTTTTCACTGAATTTGGCCCCTTCTCCAGGTGGGCGTAAGCACTGGCCTTTCCACCTTCCCTCTTCTCATCCTCAGCAGGGCCCTGAGGGAGAATGCACTTACTTCAGAGGCTTCAGAATGAGGCAAAATTACCCATCACCCCTCTTCCCTCAGCTTCTGGAGGAAAAGAGTGGGGGTAGGGAGGAGGAGTGGCACAAAACACGGCCACAGGCTTCCATAACCTCTTCTCCATTCCCTGAACCTAACTGCCTAGGCAGTCAGGAGAATGGGAGCAGAGGATCAGGGTTGAAAGGAATGAGGAGAGAGCCTGAGAGGAGAGAGAGGGAGACATGCAGGAGCAGCAGGGAGGAGACTTGTGGGGAGATGATGGTGAGACAGGTTAACTAGTGAAGGGAGGAGAACTGGAGAGGGAACTCAGCCTAGGAGAGGCAGCAGGCTGAGATTAAAATGGTCTGGGTGAGAGAGGCTAACCCCAAGGAAAAATCCAGTAGGCAGAAGATTTAGGATTGGAAAAGCTGCATAAGAGCTTAAGAGGAAGGAGTGGTGTGGGAGAAGCTGAGCAGTGGTGTGGGGTTTCCAGTGGACAGAAGGGAGAGAGAATGTAAAGAGAGAGCTGAGAAGGCACATCAAGGGGCCCCCAGGAGCAGGGTAAGGAAGGCAGAAAGAAGAGTCAGGGAGAGGAAGCGGAGATGCTGAGCAACTCCCGCTTCGCCCCGGGCCTCACCTGTGCGCGGCGAGTTAGCTGCGGCAGCCACAGGAGCAGCTTGGGTTCAGGTCCGCAGCAGCTGTGGCTCCAAGCCCGGCTCCTGTAAATGAGGCTGTGGCGACTGCAGAGCTACGTGACTCCCCCGGAGGGCGGGGCCAGCACCTCCCCGCCCTGGCCACGCCCTCTCCCAGGACTGGAGTCAGCGGCGAGGCCACGCCCACAGAGGCGGGGCGACGAGGTGGAGTGACTACTCTGCTGGGATCTCCGAGGTGGTTGCGCACTGTCCCCCTCCCACCTCGCGGGCCAGCCACCAAGGCCCCATGGGCACGAAATGGCCTCGCCTCATTTCTGCCACAATCGCCTTTACCATGTGCAGAGCACTGTGATGGCTGTTGGGGACGAAGCCTGGTCTGGTGAAGGAGGGTCACCTAAACAATCACAACAGTTGGGTTAGATGGGACACAGGCACCAACAGTGTGGGAGTCCAGGGCAGAGAGTAAGGAACTGAGTTTCTCTGTCCTCACCCCCTTATTCACCAGGGCTACAGGCAGTGAGCCAGGGAACAAGCAGTCCAGTTACCAGAGTATCTGGGGAAGAAAAGGCGTCGGGGTGGTGGGGGGAGACTGGCTTTGGCTCTGGATGCAGTGGGAGGGGTGTGTGGAGGATGCCCAGGCAAGAGGGCCAAGCTGCCTCTCCCCTGACCTCATCCACCCACCTCCTACCCAAGAAATAAGATTCAGTGAGCCTGAAGAAATACATTAAATATACTTTATTTAAATAGCGTTAAACAGAGCTGGCTCTAAGCCAATTGGTCCTGGTGTTGGGGTAAGGGAGTACTGCAGGTAAAAAGGGGTGAAACAGAGTCCAGCTTTCAGTTTCTTAGCTCAGAAATTCCAGCAATCCCTGTAGCTCCTTGCAACCCCTCACGACCTCTGGGATGGACAGCAGAGTCTGGCAAGAGATACAGAAAAGGCAGCTCAGGGTCACAGGCCAAAGGCCCAAGGCTCCCAGCCCCAAGAAGCACCCACTGAGTTAGAGGGGGGAACTGGAAGCCACAGAGAAGGCTGCAATAGTGAGTCAGGCCCAGCTCTCAGCAAAGGCTGGGAACCACACTATACTCATCAGTACCCCCTGGGCCGGGCCTTATACCAAGTGCCCTAGTTGCATCAACTCCCTCCCTCCTTTACCTCATAAATATGCTGAACAATGTCATCTAGTTTCTTTAACTCCTTGTCAGAGCGCCGCAGATTCTCTTCCAGGATGTTTCTCTAAAAAGCAAATAGGATGCATAAGCTCTATGCTTAAAAGAACAACATAGCTTGTGGGGAAAGATAAATATGGCAGGGCACTTGCTAGTGGTGACAGGAAATAGCCCTAGAATGACATGGAAATTCTTACGTGGCTCTGGAACTTGACCATGAGTTTTGCCTTCTCATTTTTCATCTCCAGGAACATCACCCTCAGCTTGTCCACCTACAGATATGTTCAGATCAGTAGGGGCACAGCCTAGGGTTCCCACCAGTTGCCCAGCTCTTCTGTTAACTCTGAGTCACCTCCTGGGAGAGCCACACTTTCTCCTGGATCCAGTTAGTGGCCATGGGCTGACTGTCGGGGTTCAGCTGGCCTGCCAGGGTCTCTTGGAGCACCTTAGTCTCTGTCTCTGCACGACGAAGTGAACGGGTGAGCTGGGTCACTTCCTCTCTAAGCCTCTGGGGATGAGAATGGAGAGGTATCTAGTAGCCCTCAAAGGTCCTCTCTATCCTTATCCCATGTGGTGAGCAAGGGTAGACCAGGGGACCCAATTCCCACATTTGGGACCCTGGCTACCAGTGACATAGAAGGCAGAGGCTGGGCATCATGATGAACGTACTATGAGCTCACCACTCTTGTCTATCTGCTCTAGGATCTTCTCGTTCTGCTGCTGTACCACTTCCTGGAGCTCCTTTTCATTCTGTGAGAAAAAGGGAGGTAAGAAGGCAGTGGGAGAGCTGGCTTCTTTGCAGCCCTTGCCAGGAGATAGGATTTTGTGCCTGACCATGCTCAGCCCAGGTGATACCAATTGATAACACTCCAATTCTTCCTCTAGGGCTACATCAGGCCAGGCACATTTCCCTGTTGGGAGAGTTCTCCTGGAGTTCTAGGTCAGCCTGGAAGATGGGTCAGTCTATAGCTGGTTCCCAAACATGTGAATTGTCTGACCCCAGGAAGGGCAAAACTAGGGCAATGGTTGGAAAATCTCCACCACCCAGATTCCTGGAGAGACAACAGCTCCCAGTGGGCCCTCACAGTTGCCCCAGTTCTTCATCGCTTCACTTCCAGGCCCCTCCTCCACCTTGTAGCGCAAGCACAAGGCCTGGTTCAGCTTCTCTATGTCCGCTTCCTTTGCCTTCTGGGCTTCCTGATGCTGTTCTTCCTGGGCCTGCAGCTGAGCCTGCAGATCACATCTAGGGGAGGGAAGAATTCAGCATTATTCCGGTCCCCCCAGGGGCTGCCTGGGCCCTTAACATAAGGGGCTGCTCACCTGACCTGCCCCCTCTCACCAGGACTGCACTCCACTCACATCTTTCGCTGCAGAGTCCTGACAGCCTCTTCTTTAGACTCCTGCAGCAGGGAGCACAGGCTCTGAAGCTCCAGAGTCATAGTACTCATTTCTGCCAGGCTATTCTCAATGCCTGGGGTTTCTGAAAGACAAAGTACTAGATAGAGGTAGAGCCCTTTAGCTCTGGAAGGAAGGAGTGTGTAGCTATCACTTCCACAACTCTTATCCATGTTCCCCACCCACAGGATCTGAATGTCTGGAACACTACCGATCCCAAAAGGCAGAAATGAAATGAGCCCAAGTAAAATTGAGGTTTTTAGAGCAAAGCACTTCTCACTGCTTTAGTCTTTATCATCACTACCAGATCTAGAAATGAGGCAGGATCCCTGGAGCCCATCCTAACCTGTAGGCTGATGGGAAACCGTTGATGCTACTCTGGTGAAAGCACTCTTGTCACTTCCAAGCAAGGGCACAGGAGCTGATTCTGGCTCTAAAACAAAATGCAACCATGGTAGAGGGCCCCTCTGGTGACCCAGTCAAGGGTCGGCCATCACGGGAGCCAGGGAGAGACAGGGTCTGTTGGCGGCATCTTCAACAGCTGAAGATATCAGGAGCAGCGCCACAACTTTCCCACCCCTAAATTCCAGGGCCTTTAACCTTCATCTGCCACTGCTGTCAGGGTGCTTCCCAAAAAGGTGCTGTCACTGGGCAGAGGGTGTTCCTGGGAAGAAGCACAGGCTGTGCTTATCGGGAGGGTCTCTGGTTCAGCCTAAGGGCAAAGGGAAAAAAAACGTCAGCTGCTTTTCAGGGATAGTGGGTTCCCTGAACTTCCAGGTATTCACCGGCCATCTCCTCGGGATGCTGTTCTATATGTCACCTCTCTTCTCTATCTTCAACTTCTCCATTAGCTCCTTTCCCTGAACTTAGTTCTCTCTCACTAGAACAACAATTAAAAAAAAAACAAAAACCCTTCTTCTTACTTTAAGTATGCTTTTAGCTACTGCCTTTTCTTTTCCCTTCCATTAAAAAAAAAAAAAAAAGACTACATTTCTTGCCTAAAATTCTCACCATGTATGGACTCCCTAGCCCACTACACTCAGGCTTCTGCCCCACCATTCCACAAAAATTCTCATTATTTGGTACACCAATGGCATCGGACACCTTTCAGGTCTTATTTTACCTGACCTATGTGATAACCAATGACCATGTTCTTTTAGAAACTTCATTTTCTTCACTTGTGTGACATGACTCTCTCTCCTTCACAGGTAGGACTCATACCTTTCTGGCTATCTCTTCTCTCTATCCACAGGTCTTTCTTTAACTGTGGGCTCCTTTTGGTTCATCCTTGACCCTCTTTACATTCCCCAGGTGGCCTCACCTCAGGAGCTCCACAAAAACATCCACTTCTACATGGATGACCCTTCAATCTGTCTCTCCCAACTGGACCTTCTCCCAATCTCCAGGCCCAAAGGCTCAACTACCTGTGAAAAATCTACCAGATTGCTCCACAGTTCATCTGAAATTTAGTATGTATAAAGCTGAGCTAGCCATTTTTCCTGTCCCACCCCACCAAAAATCTATTCCTCCATCTGTATTTAAGATCCTAGAGCAGGGGAGCAGCAAATTACAGCCTGTGGTTCAAATCTGGCCTGCCACCTGTTTTTGTAAATAAAGTTTTATTGGAACACTGCCACATCCATTTATTTATATACTCTCTATGCCTGCTGTTGAGCTACAAAGGCAGAGTTGAGTAGTTGAGACAAAGACCATGTGGCTTGCAAAGCCGAAAATATTTATCATATTGCACGTTACAGGAAAAGTCTGCCAATCCCAGTTCTAGAGTGTCACCATCTTTCCAGCAATCTAGAGATCATCATTCACTCTTCCACCGTACTCCTATATCAAACTGGTCACCACGTTCTGTTACTTTTTTTTTTTTAGATTTTTTTGATGTGGACCAGTTTTAAAGTCTTTTTTATTGAATTTGTTACAATATTGCTTCTGTTTTATGTTTTGGTTTTTTGGCCGCGAGGCATGTGAGATCTTAGCTCCCCAACCAGGGATCAAACCCGCACCGCCTGCATTAGAGGGAGAAATCTTAACCACTGGACTGCCAGGGAAGTCCCCATTCTGTTACTTTTACTTCCTAAATATGTATTGAATTCATCCAATTCATCCCCTCCTCCATATCCCTTTAGTTCAAGCCTTCAAAAATCTGGCCTCCTGCCTAGCTCTCCAGCCTTTTCTCCTTATCATCCTTGCCCCACATAGCTCCTATAATCCAATCATAAAGAGCTACCTCCCAGTTCCCAAACTCACCACATTCCACATGAGCAGGGCCTTGGCCTTGTTCACCTGTAGTCCCACCACCTAACCCAGGTCTTGTCACAAGGTAGACACTACAAAAAGTACCCATAGTGCCTCTATGACTTTCATACTATTCTCTCTGCCTGGTGGGCCTTCCTATATACCCAACCCTGCCCTACAAACTTCTAACCTCAAGACTCTGACCAAGAGCCACCTGCTCGGCGAAGACATCTTAGCTCTCAAAGGTAAAACTGATGCTCCTTTCTCTGTGGCCATCCAGGCAGCCCTCTATCATAATCACAAGCCAGGATGACAAGTTTACATCTGTCTGTCTTCCCTGCAAGACTGGATTCCTGTGCTTGGCACACACTGGGGAATGGGGTCAGATCATAAGCAATTCGATTTCAGGATTCTGGCTGTGTCTTTAACTGTTGAATAAGCTAACTAACGCTGCATTCTAAAAAATATCCATTTATTGTTCAGTGTGCACTGTGGGGAAGCCAAAGAAGCAAGGCTAAATTTCTGCTTTCTTTAAATACAGTCTAGTTGAAGAGACCAAACATCCAAGGAAAATTAATACAAGTGCAAAAGGAGAGTAAGTTCATGAGGAATATAGCAGGAGATCACTGAGTCCACTGATGTTTGGGAACATTTCAAAGAAGAAGGTGAACCAGGGAGGATTTTAATAGGAAGGAAAAGGTATTTCCAGTTTGAAGATAGAAGAGAACGGACGTGGTAACAGCACGCATCTGGGTGCAAATGGGGATGAGACGTGTGTGTAGTACGTAGGCAGTCTATGGGAGTAAAGGGTTCATAACAAGGAGGTAGGAGACAGAAGAAGAAAAGTTTGAGTGACAGGTTGAAGATATCCTGTAGGCAACTGAAAATCACCGAAGGTCACAGAGATGGAACGAGAGCAGAATTTTAGGAAGACCATTCTATACAATAAGGATACAAGTGGAAAAACTTTCAGTAAACTAGGATTAGAGGGGAACTTCCTCAACTGGATAAAGAATATCTACAAAAAGCCTACAGTTAACATCATACTTAAAGGTGAGAAACTCAAAGCTTTCCCTTTAAGATCAGGTACGAGGCAAGGGTGTCCCCTCTCACCATTCCTTTTCAACACTATAGGGGAAGTTCTAGCTAACACAGTAAGACAAGAAAAGGAAATAAAAGGTATACAGTTTGGAAAGGAAGAAATAAAACCGTCTTTATTCGAAGATATTGATACAATTGTAAGGGAAGAGAAGAAAACCCCGGACCCTACCTTCTCCTTCAGTTTTGTCTGTAGGAAGAGGGTCAGGCTACGGAGTTGCTCAGTCAGCACCCTTAGCTCTTGGGAATACTGGCGTGTCTTCTCCAGGTCTTGCTGCTGTTTCTCTGCCATGGTGCTGGCCAGTTTAGCCCTGAAATAAGGAAGGAACAGAGAAGACAGCCAAACACCAGGTGACCTTCCCTGAACACTTCTCCAAATCCCCACACAGAACTGCGTTCAAAGAGGGGAAACAAGAGGCTCTCAGACCCTGTCACAATTCCCTTCTTGGAGACTTTAGCTTCTAGAAGCCGTCCTGAGATAAACACTAACAGGGAAGCACAGAAAGGTAGAGGTCTTACTTCAGGTTCTCCATGGTGTCCTTCAGGTCCTCACACTGCAGGCTGCGTTCCCGGAGTACTTCCAGGGTGGTTTTCAACTGACACTCAACCTGGCCCAGCTCCAGGTGAGCAACCTGATTCTCTTGTTCTGCAAACTGGGGAGACAGGAGCAGGAAGGAAGGCAAGGAGAAAGGAAGGGAGGGGGGAAAATGCATCTAAGTGGGAAATTTTAGAGTCCTGGGAACAGAGGCTTTTTCCAGTCCAGAGTCTCAAACCTCACCTCAATACCATCAGGGAAGAGTCACACTCCTGCAGCTCCCCTGCCCCAAGCCATCTTCCTTACCTCCAGGGTCTCCTTTAGGTCCTGCACCTCCTTGGCCAGGACCGCCTGTTGTTGCTGCAGCTCTGCCTGCATATGTTTTAATGCCATCTCTTCCTTTTGCCATCTGCCAGAGACCTTATGTTAGATCCCATTGGTCCCATATCCTGGATGCCTACTGCCACAATAACCTGAGAGGAACTCACTGAGCAGCCTTCTCCTCACTGCTCTGGGTAAGCTGGCAGAGCAACTGATCCTTCATGGCCCGGTCCTGGGTACAATGGGCATGCTGACTCTGTAGCTCTTTTAGCTGACTCTCCATGCTGGCCAGAATCTGCAGCTGAGCCCGGAGATCTAGACCAAAATTATCCTAATGACACCACGTGGTCACCAGGCCCAAACGCCCCCACACTTCTGCTCTAAGACAAGTGCCCTAGAGCACTTTCTTACGCTACTGCCACACCCCAAGCCTCAGCAGGGTACAACTGCTTGTACGCATGCACACACGCACACCTGTTGCCAGACGACTGTTTTCCAACTCCAGTTGTTCTAGTTGGCTTTTGCAGTCCTCTAAATGGGAAGAGACTTGTTCCAGCTCCCTGGAAACCTAGGAGAAAAAGACAGTTTTCTTCCCACAGCTCCTCCTGAATCAAGAGTCCCAAGACTTAGTCCAGTTTCTCTTTCTGGACAGGACAATAAACAACATTGTTCCTGGGCAAAAACGCTGCAGCAAATAAGTCTGATCCTCAGGAAAAAGCAGAAACAGGAGGAAAGTTGCTGAAGAAGGTGCTGAAGGCCATCTTGTAGCAAAGGGACTGGCTGGTCTCCAAACCCACAGATGGAAAGACAGGTCCCAGGGAAGAGGCTAATGACACCACTCATCAGAAAGGCCTTCTGTAGAGAAGAAGGAGGAAACCAGGCCTAAGCAGTCCCCACTCCTGGTTTGTACCTGCTGCCTTTCCTCAATTGCAGCATCACGTTCCTGCAGGGTCTGCCGGCTCTTGGCTGTAAACTTCTCTGTGAGTTGTTGAAACCGGCTCAGCAGAGCTGTCCATGTTACATACTACCAGGGGAAGCAAGCAGGTCAGAAGAGCACCCTTGAGACAAGACTCCTAACAGGGCTGGCTGTAAGCAAAGGAGCAGTATAATGGCCCCAAATACTCACATCCAGTTGCATGGATATCCAGTCCTGCTGCAAGGCTGAAGTAAGACTTGCTGTCTGCTGAGCCAACCCTTCTTGCTCAGTATGAAGCCCTACCTACATGAGAAGGACTGTCAGTGGAGGGGGCCCTTTCCCTCTGGATACAGGGAAGTAGGGGTACATGACCATCCTCCCAGTGTGTCAGTATGGATCCCAGGAAAGAATATGCCTTCAATTACCAGTTGGGTGTGGGTTTCCTTCAAAAGGCCTCTGAATTCCCCCATGGATGCCAGGTCCTGTTCCAGCTGGCTGATGCGCTGGCTGGCGTGTGCACAGAAAACCTCTAGCACTGTCTCTGCCTGTTTAGAGAAGAGGTTGAGAGGACATTGTGGGCAGAGGAAGGGTACAGCACAAAAAGCCATAACTATCCGTCACACCAGCAGTTTAGTTCATTATTCCCCAGGGCAAGCAGTTCTCAGGCCACCCATCTGTGTCTCAAGTCAATTTATGTTCCTGCAGGAACCTTAGGAAGAGACCTCCTACATCCAGGAGCAAAAGCCTGACACCTTACCGCATCTTTGCCTCTGAGGGCCATTTCCTCTCTGTGCTTTGCCTCCTCCCTCTCTGCTTTGAGGCTCTGGAGCCTTGCCCTCAATTTCTTCAACACATCAAAACAGCGGGACACCAAGGTTTCTGTACGCCAAGACTATAAGATAAGAATCATATACTGTGTCCGGTTTCTTTACTTGGCTGAATTTCAGTCCCACCAAAGGCCTCTGCCTCCATCTGCATGCTGCTTACCTCCTGACTCAAAGCAGTTTTATCTTCATCTAAGTGCAGCAGAGATAGTTGAAGCAAGGATATCAGCTCTTTAGAGACCAGCACCCATGACTGCTGTAGAGGGAGAGATGGTTAGGCTAGATCAAATAAAGTCATTAAGCAGGACGTAAGCTGGGACACAGAGGAGGAAGCCACCAACCCCAATTTCACGCTCCCAATAAGGAAGAGGTGTTCTTAACGAAAGGAAACCTCCCTTCACTACCATGGCTGAGTACCATCCATCACCTGCTAACTGCTCAGGAGTCGCCATTCTTGATCTTCACAGGAGACCCAGCAACGGTGTCAGGTCAATCAACACTTACCATGACGTTCCTGGCCTGCCGCAGAGCCTGTCCAATCTCCTGGCTCTCCTGAAGATGCTGAGGTTTCTTACTCATCTAGTTGGAGAAACAGAGTTGCCCCTCTTGCATAGGCAACATGCACCACCAGCAGCTCTTTCCCCCTCCCACCGAGTTACAGGAACCTTTCCCATTAAAATCAGGAGCAAGGCTCACAGCTTGATGAAGCCAAGTGAGAAAAAAATCCAGAGGTAGGTAAAAAAATTACTTTTTAAAATAACTTTTTTTTCTGATTATGTGTTGACTGTAAAATTTTGGAAATAGGAAAGTGAATAAAATGGAAAAAGAATCATTATCAATTTCACCCCTAGAGCAGTGATTCTCAACCAACAGTACAGCACCCACCCCAAGGGATTTCAATACACCTCTACACCAGATTTCCTTGCTGTAGGGATTTGCTGTAACTGATGAGTATGTTACCTCCCTCAGGTGTCAGGGGGAGAAAAAAGTTGTAGACTACTGATTTACAAAGAAATAACTATACTTAGGGCTTCCCTGGTGGCGCAGTGGTTGAGAGTCCGCCTGCCGATGCAGGGAACGTGGGTTCGTGCCCCGGTCTGGGAGGATCCCATGTGCCGCGGGGCGGCTGGGCCCGTGGGCCATGGCCGCTGGGCCTGCGTGTCCGGAGCCTGTGCTCCGCGGTGGGAGAGGCCACAACAGTGAGAGGCCCGCGTACCGAAAAAAAAAAAAAAAAAAAAAGAAATAACTATATTTAATAAATTCTAAGATGATTGCCTTTTTACAATTGTTTTCTATATTGGCGCACTGCGCAGCATGTGGGATCTTTGTTCCCCAACCAGGGATCAAACCCGTGCCCCCTGCATTGGAAGCACAGAGTTTGAACCACTGAACCACCAGGGAGGTCCCTGTCTTTTTACATTTTAACACCACTGACATTGGTATGCATTCAATATTGATAGTATCTTAGATTTGATGAAAGACAGTGATGCTTAAGACAAACCACAATTGTGAATATATAAATAAATGTGGGGTCCTGCTTTTCTTAATTTTATTATACTCATGTTATTTAGCCCTGAGTTTACATTTAGTCTCCTCACTGAGAGCCTGAGACTGGGATGTGTGCTTTAGGGAGACCTATCAAAGTGGAGCATCACTCATTTTTAACCTCTGCTGACATTTTACCTCACCTCAAAGCCTCTTAGAGGTTATATGAACTCTGAACTCCTTTTTTTCTTGTTTTTTTCTTCTTTTTATTTATTTATTTATTTATGTTGATCTCTAGATATCTTTTTTTTGGCTAGGCCATGGGGCTTGTGGGGTCTTATTTATTTATTTATTTTTGGCTACGTTTGATCTTCGTTGCTGTGCGTGAGCTTTCTTTAGTTGCAGCAAGTGGGAGCTACTCTTCGTTGTGGTGCACAGGCTTCTCATTGCAGTGGAGCACTGGCTCTAGGTGCGTGGGCTTCAGTAGTTGTGGCTCGCAGGCTCTAGAGCGCAGGCTCAGTACTTGTGGCGCACAGGCTTGGCTGCTCCGCGGCATGTGGGATCTTCCCAGACCAGGGATCGAACCCATGCTCCCTGCATTGGCAGGCGGATTCTGAATTCCTTTCTTTAAAAACCATGAACATTAAACTTATTAAACTATTAAAAACTCTTGGCAGTCCAGTGGTTAGGACTCTACACTTCCACTGCAGGGGGCATGGGTTTGATCCCTGGTGGGGAACTAAGATCCTGCATGCCACACTGCACGGCTGGAAAAAAAAAAAAAAACTCTTCATAAATATACTTTTAAATAACTAGGATATCCCATCTTATGGATGTACCATTATTTTTCATTTTTTTTAAGTTATCATCTTTATGCAGAATTTTTTTTTCCCCTTAGGATTTAACCCTAGAAGTGAGGTTACTGGATCAAAAAGTTTGAACAGCTTTGAGCAGTTGAAACTGCCTTCAAAAACGGCAGAACCCGTTTAAAGGCATAATGTTCAAACAAGAGAAAAAAATTTTAAATGTAATATTAAATATAACTGTTTTAAAGCATAAAAAAAAAAAGATTGAACCAATTTATGCCCTACTGACGACAGGACAATGCTTACCACTATTACCTATTTTATTCTTTGCTATTTTGTCAGAAGAAAATAGCATCTCATGTTGCAATTTGCATTTCTCTGATTACCAGTAATGGTAACCTTCTCAAATATTTATTTACTACTCATTTTAATTTTCTTAATCTCTAATGGTCTATTCATTATCTTGGGGCAGATGAAAATCTTAGTGTGCTATGTGGAGTAGATAAGTATGATTTCAAAGGCAGCAGAGCCGTAGAGAAACTTTGAAGTTCTGAGAGAAAAGTGGGGAACCTTCATTACTGCTGCAAGGCAGCCATCGTCTAGGAAAAAGCCTAGTGCTGGAGCAGCAGTGCTGAGTCACGATGCTGCAGCAGCCTGGATATAAGGAGGCAGATCTCTTGGAGTTCATCGCTCCCCTCCCCAGCAAAGCAGACATTGTTCCCGACTGCATCATGCAGTAAGGCACAGAGTTACCCCTGGAGCCCTGGAACAGGGCACACATACTGCTCAGGGCTGGCCAGTCAGGCAGGTGATGAGATTAGCGTGAATGAGGCAGCCAAGCGGCAAGGACATGGCACTGTGATGGGGAATGGCTGAAGGCACTGTAATTTCCTCTCTTTGGTTCTGCCCCAGTGGTCTCTAAAAGGATTTGGCAAGCTTCAAGGAAAGAGGGTACAAGGCCAACTCAGGGATGGGGAACAAGGTCAAGGACAAGAGGAAAGGATACAAAAATAAGAAAATACAGGAATGATGAGCCTATGGCTTCCAGGATTTTGACAAAAAGTAAAGTCATTATTTTGAGAATATTTTCAACCCAAAGGAGGTCTTTGGAGTTTTAGAGACCATCGGGTTTTTTTTTGGCCGCGCTGCGCGGCTTGTGGGATCTTAGTTCCCCGACCAGGGATTGAACCCCGGCCCTCAGCAGTGAGAGCGCAGAGTCCCAACCACTGGACCGCCAGGGAATTCCTGAGACCATCTCTTCTTAGCAGCAGCCACCTATTACCTCAACAGGCACAACACTAAGGGACCTCAATTCCTTCCCTGACACATTCCCTTACTTCCTCGGCCTGTGCTGTCACAGCAAGACTCCTCTAGAACAATGGTCTTTAAACTGTTTTCCTCTCATATCTCCTACAGTAATTTTGAAAGCTGGAGTACTCTTATGTTTAAATCGTTACAAAGGCTGTAATTTCCACCACCTTATGAACATTGACAGTTTGAAATAAAACTGTTACATCACTCTTGAATATACCCAATGGTATAAATGTTACATACACCATAATGATTTTTTTAACGTCTTTATTGGAGTATGATTGCTTTATAATGGTGTGTTTGTTTCTGCTTTATAAACCATAATGATTTAATACCTATTTGATACGTTTAGAAAACACACAAAGGGGACTTCCCTGGTGGCGCAGTGGTTAAGAATCCACCTGCCAATGCAGGGGACACGGCTTCGAGCCCTGGTCCAGGAAGATCTCACATGCTGCGGAGCAACTAAGCCCATGTGCCACAGCTACTGAGCGTGTGCTCTACAGCCCGTGAGCCACAACTACTGAGCCCACGTGCCACGAGTACTGAAGCCCACACGCCTAGAGCCCGTGCTCCACGACAAGAGAAGCGCACCGCAACAAAGAGTAGCCCCCACTCACTGGAACTAGAGAAAGCCCGTTGCACAGCAACAAAGACCCAACGCAGCCAAAAATAAATAAATTAATTAATTTTTTAAAAATACACGAAGTTCTTCTTTAACAGAAATTTTATATCACCCCTTTTTCTCCTTGAACCTCTATTTTTACTCCTCTCAGAATTTTATCCTAATAAAACATACTTTTACACTTTAAACTCTATTAGTATCTCTGCAATGACAACAAAAGTTCATCTAAATTTAAATAAATTAAAAAAAATTTTTAATTCCTCTGACCATAAGATTTTAAATTTATTTATTTATTTATTTTTGGCTGCGTTGGGTCTTCGTTGCTGTGCGCGGACTTTCTCTAGTTGTGGCAAACGGGAGCTACTCTTCGTCGCGGTGCATAGGCTCCTCATTGCAGTGGCTTCTCTTGTTGCGGAGCATGGGCTCTAGGCGTGCGGGCTTCAGTAGTTGTGGCTCGTGGGCTCTAGAGCACAGATTCAGTAGTTGTGACACTCGGGCTTAGTTGCTCCGTGGCATGTGGGATCTTTCCAGACCAGGGATCGAACCCGTGTCCCCTGCATTGGCAGGCGGATTCTTAACTACTGCGCCACCAGGGAAGCCCCACATAAGATTTTAAGTGAGAAAACTCTCTTTTGGATGGAGAAATATTTTCATCAGTTGTATACTAATCACTGTAATAATATAATTTTTAATTAAAATCATAAACATATCCAGTAAAATTTTACTGGAGATCCATCTACTAATGAAATAGATGGAGCATCCCTCCCCTTATTAGTTCATGTGTCTGTGATTACTATAATTCCTACAATAAGACGTAGTTCAGCAAGAATTTTATGCCTATTTTCCATTCTTACAGATACAAGATTTATGTGAGGGAATTTCATGGCGGTCGTGTGGTTAGGACTCTGCGCTCTCACTGACAAAGGCCTGGGTTCGATCCCTGGTCGGGGAAATGAAATCCCACAAGCCATGTGGTGCAGCCAAAAAAAAAGATTTCTGTGACAAAACTTCTTCACATAAATAATGGGAATAAGTAGGAATGAAAGAAGGGAAGAAGGGCATGTCACCCAATTCTAGGAGCTCCTTTGGAGATACATGCCGAAAATCTCACAGTGAATTTCCATCCACTGACATAACTGAAGTCTTCCTTCAATTTTGTTGAAAGCACACAAAAATGACATGTTACATAATCATTGCAGTCATTTGCCTTCTCAGCACGTACACAAATATTTTCTATTGTCCTTTGAATGCTGCCTCTTGACAATGTAAGATTCAGGACAGGTAGTAAATATGCTCTTCTTTATAGTAAAGTTAGTAAATTGGGCAAGGGTAATTGAGAATGGGGAAGTAGGAAAGAAAACAAATTAGTAAAGAGTGCATTTGGAAGATGAAGATCTACAAACCGATTCCTTTAAAACTTTCCTTGCTTGCATTCCCTTGGAAGGTCTTGATGTACCCCAGGGGTATAGTGAGTACCAACAGCTCTAAGGTATTTTCCAGATCCTCAGCTTTTATACATATTCTAAGGAAGAGGGCCCACTGGGATCCTCCACACTTTGGGAAGAACCTTCTTACCCCACTGGAAAAGGTGTCAGTCTGTGTGCTGCTGTCCTGAACTTCTGGGTGAGGGCCAGTCAGCTGGCTCTTCCAGTCCTGCAGCTGGCGGGAGAGTACCTCCAGAATGACAAGAGAGTTCAGCAGGTTATCTTCCAGGTCATGTCGAGATAAGGCAGTCAGATCTGGAGGACGGCTGCAGTAGGAAGAGAAGAACATGAGGAGAAGAGAGGGAAAGGGATGGGAGTGACAGGTCCAGGAGCACAAAGATACAGGGATACTTACCCCCATAGAAGGTGCTCTGTCTCAGAAGTACTGTCCTTGGTGCCCACCAGGCCTGTTTGGGATGTGTTTGTACTCCTTTCCTGCTGTGCTGGGGGAGTAAACCAAGTCCCCACCGAGCAAGTAGAGAAAGGGGTAGTGCCAATCGCAGCATCCCGAAACACAGAGGGAAGAGATAAGCTCTGGCGGAGATTTTCCAGCATGACGGAGGTATTTACACCTTTTTCCAGCCAGGCCAGGGGAGACATCCAAGGCCCCATATCAGAGACGGGAATGCTCCCAGCATCTTCTACTGCTGGCCCTGGAGCTGCCTGGGATTCCATTTCTTCTGGATTTGGGGTCAGGCCTGTGGATGGAATATCGTCCCTATTTGAGACAAGTGCTTGATCTCCCAATTCAGCCTCCTCAGGGAATGTGGGAAACCTCATTTCTCTCTCCTCTGTAGTTCTGTGCTCTAAAATTTCCTCCCCTGGGTCCACAAGACTGACAGGGAAGTCTGCTGCTAAGACAGTTGAAGGGGAAAGCCAGAGCGGGGAGGAAGGCAACAAGGCATTACTTTCAGAAGGGACTAGGTCCTCAGGCACAGCCTCAGTCCTACTGTCCTTCAGGCTTTCCCTGGAGCAGTGTAGCTGTTGCTCAGAACAGGAATTTTGTGGGTACTCCAACAGATGGGATGGAGGATTCTGAAATGTAGGTTTCTCAGGCATAGCAGGAACAATTTCTGAAAAGTTGTCTTCCATGCAGGGGGCCACCCCCTTTCTCAGCAGATCTCCTGTCCTCAAAGGCTCATCTAGAGAGAAGCTGTTTGTCTCTGCCATGGTATCTAGATGGGCCTCGAGTGTAATGTTTTGCTGAGGCCCGCCTGGAGAAGGTACAACGACCATGGTTTTAACCACATTGTTGCCCAGTGGGTCTACTGCTTCCTCAGATGTTCTGGGAGTAGAATTGGTTTGGGGAATCGGATTTAGGGGCTGCTCATCTGATTCATGTTGACAAGCTTCTAGACATGTTGAGGGATGGCTGAAGTGTTCTGAAGGGGAGTCTGTCTCCTTAGCATTGACAAGATCCAGTGGAGATGAGCTGTTGCTGCCTTCCTGCCAAAGGAAACAAAAGTAGTTGACTAATACAGTCAGTTCTGGTTCCCAATATACAGTTATGGGTGCAGGATACTGTCTGAACTCAAAAAAGGAAAGAGTTCTCATTACCTTTACTTAGGTAAGACCTTGGCTAAGCCTTGCTACTTACTACAGAGACCCAGGAGAAAAGCTGGGAAGCCATTCTGGGTCCTTCCAAGTGAACCAGGTTACAGTATAAACAAGGCTAAGATAATCTATCCATGTCATGGGAAGATGGTAGCTTGAAAGTGACCCCACTCTTCTCCAATCCTAACTCCAACCCACTTCTAGGGTAGGAGGGATCCCTGGCTCAAGTTCTACAGTTGGTATAAGATTTTAGTCCTTTTGGAACAGATGAGAAATTGGGGACTAGAGCGAGAGAGCACTTGGCCCACAGAGATCCATGTACCGTAGGAAGAAAGGGCAACATCAACCTGTGCCGGTGACCTAGTCTCCTTGACCGCAAGAGCTGAGGGTATCCTGGACACATGGGTTGAAGCCATTCAATCCTTGGGATTTGAAGAGCTCTAGCCTTTGTAGTAAAGGAGAATGAAGAGCAGAAAGACTCTTCCTGGTGCCCTGAAAAGGGAGTGACAACCTCCCAGTTGCTGGTTCATAGGGATGGAGACCACTGCACTTTCTACCACTTGCAGGGCTGCTGGTCCTGAGACTCAATGAACAAAAAAAGGACAATATGAATGTACTTACATGGATCCAGTAGCCAGAGAAAGGACAAACCCTAAGATAGTTAAGAAAGGTAGGCCCTACCAAAATACAGCTGACGGAAGAAACAGATAACAATTTGCACCAAAAAATATATGCATACATAAGAAGATATGAGTGCAACTCACACACACAAAGGCTTTCTGGAAATAATAAATATTACTTTTAAACAAAAAATTTTAGTAATATGCATTGAAAGAGGATGATCAGAGTTAAGACAAGAATTACTGGCCTGGACAATCAAGTGGAAGACATATCTTAAAGACAAAAATACAAAGAAAGGTAAATCTGAGGGAAAAGCTAAGAGAACTGGAAGATAAATCCAGCAAACCTAACATGTGAATAAAAGAAGTTCAAGGAGAAAAGAGAACACGTACAGGTGGGGCACTGATTAACAAGTATTAGAAGAAAATTTCTCTAAGGTAAAGAAAGATCTGAGTTTGCATATTAAAATGGCTCACCAAGTTCCAAGCAGGACTGACAAAAAATGATAAAATTTCTAAACTACCAGAACAACAAAACTATTTTAGAAGCTTTAGATTATAAAGACCAATTATTTACAAAAAAAAAAAAGAATTAGACTTACGTGAAATTTCTCATTTACAGCAGTGAATGAAACTTTAAAACATAAAGTTGAGCTAAAACTTCTGATATTCTAGCAATGTCCTTGGGTATAGGTTACAACGATGTGTGTTTTATACAAATTTGTTAGGCTCAATGTTTTATGTACTTTCATGTATTTTATTTCAAATTTTCAAGCTTTCTTTCAAAGTGCTAAAGGAGGGACTTCCCTGGTGGCACAGTGGTTAAAGAATCCGCCTGCCAATGCAAGGGACATGGGTTCGATCCCTGAGCCAGGAAGATCCCACGTGCCACGGAGCAACTAAGCCTGTGTGCCACAACTACTGAGCCTGCGTTCTAGAGCCCACGAGCCACAACTACTGAGCCTGCGCGCCACAACTACTGAAGCCCGTGTGCCTAGAGCCCACGCTCTGCAACAAGAGAAGCCACTGCAATGAGAAGCCCACGCATCACAACCAAGAGTAGCCCCCTCTCGCCACAACTAGAGAAAGCCGGCATGCAGCAACGAAGACCCAACGCAGCCAAAGATAAAAAATAAACAAATTTATAAAAAAACAAAACAAAACAAGAACAAAGTGCTAAAGGAAAAGTAGAAAATAAAGGGGATGGCAAGGAGATATCAGGCAAAAACAAACAAATAGAGTAGAGGCAGCAGTACTAGTATCAGACAAGGTAGAATGTAAAGTTATGGCACTATTACGATAAAAGACAAAATTAAAGATATGTGATATAAAAAAATATAAATCAGTCGGCACTACATAGCCCAGAAGCTAAATATATAAACCAAAGGCTTTTAGAAATGTAAAAATGACCTTAAAGTTTTTGCTGTGTTTATCAAGTTCCTATTTATTCCTTTAAAAAATCACTTGAGGAGAAGATGATTGCAAATCATATATCTGATAAGGGGTTAATATCCAGAACAGATAAAGAATTCCTACAGGAGCGGGCGGCGCGGCAGGCGGGAGGCGGCAGGATGGTGAAACTGACCGCGGAGCTGATAGAGCAGGCAGCGCAGTACATCAACGCCGTGCGGGACCGCGAGCTGGACCTGCGGGCCGTATAGGTGAGGGACTTGATCAGGCTCTGCCCTGTCTGACAGAACTCATTCTCACCAACAACAGCCTTGTGGAATTGGGTGATCTGGACCCTTTGTCATCTCTCAAATCATTGACTTATCTAAGTATTCTAAGAAATCCTGTAACAAATAAGAAGCATTACAGACTATATGTGATTTATAAAGTTCCACAAGTCAGAGTACTGGATTTCCAGAAGGTGAAACTAAAAGAGCGTCAGGAAGCAGAGAAAATGTTCAAGGGCAAACGGGGTGCACAACTTGCAAAGGATATTGCCAGGAGAAGCAAAACTTTCAACCCAGGTGCTGGTTTGCCAACTGACAAAAAGAAAGGTGGGCCATCTCCAGGGGATGTGGAAGCAATCAAGAATGCTATAGCAAACGCGTCAACTTTGGCTGAAGTGGAGCGGCTGAAGGGCTTGCTTCAGTCCGGTCAGATACCTGGCAGCGAACACAGATCAGGCCCCACTGATGATGGTGAAGAGGAGATGGAAGAAGACACAGTGACAAATGGGTCCCAAGCAGGGTGGCCTCTAAGGATCTCAGGACATACAATAGTCCACTTCAGACACGTCCTGCTTTTTGAATAGCCTTGTTTGTGTCAGCAAAGTAGAGTTCATAAGCATTGTTGAAATGCTTAAGACTGCTGGTAATTTTGTAATAAAAATTTTGAAATCTAAATGCCAGTTTTCTATCAACAATGCAAATAAAGGATACTCTGTGCTGCGGATTGCACATCATTGGGGTGTATGTGCGGTGAGGCCTGGACGTGTGGGAGTTGGAAATGCAGGAGGGCGGATCTTGTGGGTAGGCTTCCCAGTCCTCATGAAATGTTTAGGTTTTTAAATTCATAATAAAACTCATGATTAAAAAAAAAATTCCTACAACTCAACAACAACAAAAATAATTAAATTAAAAAATGGGCAAAGGGACTTCCCTGGTGGCACGGTGGTTAAGAATCTGCCTGCCAGTGCAGGGGACATGGTTCGAGCCCTGGTCCGGGAAGATTCCACATGCTGCAGAGCAACTAAGCCCGTGCACCACAACTATTGAGACTGCGCTCTAGAGCCCACAAGCCACAACTACTGAGCCCGCGTGCCACAACTACTGAAGCCCGCACGCCTAGAGCCTGTGCTCCGCAACAAGAGAAGCCACCACAATGAGAAGCCTGCGCACCACAACAAAGAGTAGCCCCTGCTCGCCGCAACTAGAGAAAGCCCACATGCAACAACGAAGACCCAAAGCAGCCAAAATAAATTAATTAATTAATTTTAAAATAAAACCTCCCAGAAAACAAAAGTCCAGGACCAGATTATTTCACAGGTTGAATTTACCAAAATTCAAAGAAGATTTAATACCCATTTGTCTCAAGCTCTTCCAAAAAATTAAAGAAAGAGAAGGAAATACTTCCTAACTCATTTTACAAGGCCAAAATTATGTTGATACCAAAACCAGACAAGGACAACACAGAACTCAACAGATCTGGCAGACTAAAAAAAGTGCAAGGACAGAGTAATTAGCCATCTGTTGTTGGATATAATAGAATGTGACATCCTGTGAATAGTAAATATGCTTTTTTTCATATGTTCATGGAACACTCAGAAAAATTCATCCTATATTTGGCCACAAAGACAACAGATTACAGTCTGATCATAATGCAAGAAAATAAATTTAAAAGGTGACACAAAATGGCTTTTAAGCACTTGGAAATTAAGAACCCCTCCTAGATAACGCCTGAATTAAAGGTAAAAATCAAAAGAAAATTACAAACTAGCTAAAAAGCATGACAAATGATGAGAAAAGCAACAGGCAGAGAAATGTATACAGTCAATCCTCATTATTTGAACTGAAAAGCATTTTCTACATAGCTATGTCTCTCAAGACCTTTCACAAAAGTACAGCTCAGTGAGGGCAGTTCTACAAGGAGCTAGTTTAAACTCCGGTGGTTCAGGGGTGTAACTTGATCCCAGGGGAGTTTTGACTACCTCTGGGAATGGATGGACATTGCCTCATTCTTAAAACTGACTGACTTCTCCATAAGTGAGTCCCTATTAAGAAGGAGACCACTCGGGGCTTCCTTGGTGGCGCAGTGGTTGAGAGTCCGCCTGCCGATGCAGGGGGTGCGGGTTCGTGCCCCGGTCTGGGAAGATCCCACATGCCGCAGAGCGGCTGGGCCCGTGAGCCATGGCCGCTGAGTCTGCGCGTCCGGAGCCTGTGCTCCGCAACGGGACAGGCCACAGCAGTGATGAGGCCCGCGTACCACAAAAAAAAAAAAAAAAAAAAAAGAGGGAGACCACTAACCAAAGTGATAGTATTTCTGAGACGTTTGGTAAAGACTGAACGGGGGAGGTGGTGATAAAAAAAACTAACGGCTAAATAGAGGTGCGGGTTCTCAGTGGACTTCCTTTAGCGACCCTAGGGTACCTCTCTGTTGGCCTGAATAGCTGTAAATGGATGTCACCGAAGAAGGAAACTTCATTATCGTTATTAATTACGTTCCAACCCTGGCCCTCTGTTCCTCTGAGCTCTCCGCCTCGGCAAAGAGCCCAGTCGAGAGGCTGGCCAGGCGAATCTCACCTGCGGCCCTAGCTTGCACAGTGATGAGGTGGACGAGTAGGCTATCGGGGGCCCTGTTCCCGAGTTGGTGAGGGCACCAGGCTGCAGGATAAGTTCTCGGAGAGGCGTTCTCATAGCTGCTTTTCCCTAAAACAGAAGAGAGAATGTGAGAAAGCCTGGGCTCTGCCAGCCTGCCCTAAGAAGCTCCCCTCCCTCCCTAAGAAGCTCACGAGCAATAACAAGAGTAGGCTCCAACCCCAGTCCTCTGAACATCAGGACCAGCATTAGACTCCACATGCACCCGTCCCCAGGCTCGACCCTGCTTTCCACGACGCCCGGCACTGCCAGCGACCCCGACCCAAAACCCCGGCCCAGCTCTCTCTCTCCATGAAGCCCTCCCGCTCACCGGTTGGGGCGAAGGCGACACGCTAAGATTCAGTTTTTTCACCCGCCACATCTTCAAAACAACACAGAGTGATCACCTCCTAGACGCAAGAGGCGACGCCATGCTCACCCGCCGTCTTTATTTGAACCTGCTCCGCGCTTCCCGATTGGCTGCGAAGTCTCAGTGCGTCAGGTGGGCGCGTCCGCTCCGGGCTCGAGCCCGGCGGGCTGGGGCGGGGCCTGTATTGGACCCGCCCCGCCCGGCCCCCTGTGCGCGCGCGCTCTGCGAACCGACCCCCAACCCTCGACGCCGGCGGTATCCGGGACGCGCTCCAGCCCGAAAGCCAGCCTTTCGGCCTCACCTCCGAGAGGGTGACCGGGAAGTTGGACAGTTGAGGAGTCCATCCCTCCTGCTTCGAGTAGGCCAGTCTCACACCCTGTCGGAAAAGCTGTCCCCGTGGCCTGGCTTTAGAAAGTTTCTCCTCGGGTTTCCCTCAGCTATCTCAGCCTTGACCGGCAGGAGCCGGTCGGGAATATAGAAGGGAAGGCGAGTGGAGCGTTTTTTACGTAGGCTGCTCGGTCCGCTCATAGGTCCTGCGTCCGTGATGGCCTGAGACGTGGTTCTCAGCCTGCGCTGTCATTTAGCCTCTTCAGAATTTCTGGGGTTTTCTTGGGACTTAACTCAGGGTCTGCAACAAGTTTACTGGAACAATAATAGCTCACAAGTATTGAACATTTATTAGGCACCTGGCACTCTTCCAAATGCCTTTTATATCTTAACTCCTTTAATCCCCAAAAGGGCATATGAAGTAGGCACCGTAAATATCCCCGTTTTACAGACGTAGCAACCGAGTCACAGATAATGTCTTTTGCCTAATGCCCACAGGTAGTAAAATGGCAGAGTCAAGATTGCCACCCACACTACCGACTACTGTATTCTCCTCTCGCTTGAAACCCCTCTGTGTGGGAAATTAGCTACTGGAGGTGGGATTGATTTTTGAAAACAGCCTGAAGTTAAGTATTGAGAGTTACAGTTTTTTTATATATATAATTTTTTAAATCTTTATTTTATTTTTGGCTGCCTTGGGTCTCTTGCTGTGTGCGGGCTTTTCTCTAGTTGAGGTGAGCGGGGGCTACTCTTCGTTGCGGCTCACGGGCTTCTTATTGGGTGGCCTCTCTTGTTGCAGACCACGGGCTCTAGGTGCGCAGGCTTCAGTAGTTGTGGCACTCAGGCTCAGCAGTTGTGGCTCGTGGGCTCTAGAGCGCAGGCTCAGTAGTTGTGGCATATGGGCTTAACTGCTCCACGGCATATGGGATCTTCCCGGACCAGGGCTCAAACCCGTGTCCCCTGCACTGGCAGGCGGATTCTCAACCACTGCGCCACGAGGGAAGTCCCCAGAGTTAGTTTATGATGAAGTATGTTCCTTTGAACGCTCACGGCACCTTATTTACACTCTTAAGTCATAATGAATTTGGAAAAGGCAATAACCCAGAGAGGAAAAGCTATAATGTTACGAACTTCGGGGCCCTCAGGGGATGGGCTCTTCTAGAACTGTGTTGTCCAGTACCATAGCCACTAGCCACATGTGGCTATTGAGCACTTCAAATGTGGCTAGTCCAAATTGAGATGTATTATAGGTGTAAAATACAAACTAGATTTTGAAGACTTCGTATGAAAAAAGAAAAGAATAAAATATCTTATTTTAAATATTGATTGCATGTCGAAATGATATTTTAGATACATTGGGTTAAATAAAATACATTAAATTAATTTCATCTGTTTCTTTTTACCTAATTTTTAATGGGGCTACTAGCAAATTTTAAATTACTTATGAGGCTTACATTATTTCTGTTGGACAACACCGCTTTAGAAACATAATGGTGCAACCTAAAGACGCTAGAGATAACAGTTGCTTGTCTGGAAAACTGGGAGAAAGACAACAGAACACAAACTTGAGCCTGGGATTCCCCCAGACTTAGCAGAGGGAATCCCAAGGTATATGTACTTCTGGTCAATCAAAAAGGTCCAACAAATAAAACAAGGGTGAAAGGGGCAGAAAAACCAAGACAGAAAAACTCTTAAGTGCCAGTAGTAAAAGCTTGTATCATATAAAGTGTGACTTGGAATGCTTAGTCCTTGTTGCAGTTGGTATGTCAGATGCCAGGTGAGTAACCAAAGAGATAAAGTGCTTCCAGCAGCAAATTAGGAGGGATATGGAGGGTAGACGAGAGGGACAATACTATTGTAAATAGGCAACATAAGCAGAATTAATTTGTTGGTGTTGTTTTGCATGAATTTTTTTTGGGGGGGAGGCCGTGCTCCGTGACTTGCGGGCTCTCAGTTCCCCAACCAGGGATTGCACTCGGGCCACGGCGATGAAAGTGCCAAATCCTAACTAACCACTAGATCACCAGGGAACTCCCTGCATGATATTTTTCATTTGGCGTTTTTCAAATTGTAAAAAATAAGAGATGCTCGTTGTAGCAAGTGAAACAATACAATGCAAAGACATATTAAAGGCACAGCCTCCCCCATCCATTCTACCTGCCTGAGGTAACGAATAGTGTGTATGCCTTTATAAAAACATATGCAGGGAATTTCCTGGTGGTCCAGTGGTTAGGACTCGGCGCTTTCACTGTCATGGGCCCGGGGTTCGATCCCTGGTCAGGGAACTAAGATCCCACAAGCCATGCAGCCAAAAATCAACAACAACATATGTATACACACACACAAGGATTTTGTTTTTTATTTACACACGCTTTTTTTTTTACCCAAATTAATTGACGTGCAGACTGGGGTCTCTGGGATTGAGAGCTAGTGCCTTTCTTTTCCTCTTCTCATTACATTTGCATTACTCCCCTCTCCCTCCCAGGTTCTCTTTTTCATTCTCTCTCTCTCTCTCTCTCTCTCTCTCTCTCTCTCTCTCTCGCGCGCGCGCGCGCGCGCGCGCGCGCGCGCACACACACACACACACGGAGGGGAAGTAAGCATTGAGAGTCGTCTACAGAAATGGCATCATTTCTTACACTTCTGCATTTTTTTCCCACTCAATGTCTTGTATTGAGCCTTCTAAGTCAACTGATATAGATCTAATTAACTCATTCATCATTTCATATTCCATGTCCTCTTTAAAAAAATAGGTTCTCTTTTCTAATTTGTAAGAGTTCTGTATTATAGACATTAACTGCCATCACATTGCAAATATTTTTTAGATCTATTTTTTGTCCATTGACTTTATTAATGGTATCTTTGGCCATACAAAGATAAAACATTTATGAGGTTAAGATGTCATCTTTCCTTTCAAAGCATCTGGATTTATCTTGATTGATTCATTCATATTTTATGTAAATGTATTCTTTTTCTTTTTTTTAATTTAAAAAATTTTTATTTTTGGCTGTGTTGGGTCTTCGTTGCTGCACGCGGGATTTCTCTGGTTGCGGGCGAGCGGGGGCTGCTCTTCATTGCCGTGCGCAGGTTTCTCATTGCAGGAGCTTCTCTTGTTGCAGAGCACAGACTCTAGGCGTGCGGGCTTCAGTAGTTGTGGCACGCGGGCTCAGTAGTTGTGGCACGCGGGCTCAGTAGTTGTGGCACACGAGCTCTAGAGCACAGGCTCAGTAGTTGTGGTGCATAGGCTTAGTTGCTCCGCGGCGTGTGGGATCTTCCCGGACCAGGGATCGAACCCGTGTCCCCTGCATTGGCAGGCGGATTCTTAACCACTGGGCCACCAGGGAAGTTCCGCGCCCCCCCCCCGCCCCGCTTTATAAGGAAACCAATCATATTGGATTATGGATTAGGGCCCACCCATAAGACCTCATTTTAACTTAATTATACCTGTAAAGACCCTATCTCCAAATACCATGACATTCTGAAGTACAGGGGTTAGGATTTCAGCAAATCAATGGGGAGGGGGCACAATTCAGCCTGTAACAGGGGCTAATAATACAGTGAATATGATTTTATTCAATTTTTCAAAAAAGCTTTGACAAGACTTTTACATTGAAGACTCTATTTAAAGAAGTAAACCGAGGAATTGAGATTACCAGTTTGTTAAATCAATGAACAAGTGAACAAATGAACTGGTCAATATATGATAAAGTAACTTAGGTTAGAGGTAAGAAACAATGAGTAGAACTAAAAGGACACTTTTCTAAAAGAAGAATATAAGTTTTGGTGTTAAGACTTAATTTTTTTTTAATAAAGTATAGTTGGTTTACAGTGTTGTTTCAGGTGTACAGCTAAGTCATTCAGGTATATATATATATGTGTGTATATATAAAATCTTTTTCAGGTTCTTTTCCATTATAGGTTATTACAAGACATTCAATATAGTTCCCTGTGCTATACAGTAGGTCCTTGTTATTTATAAGACTAATCTTAAATTCTTAGAAAAGATAGAAGGGAGTACAGAGCAAAATATCCATACTTAAAAGTGTATCTGATTTCTTCTAGGTAATGAAAAATCAAAATGTAGGGCTAAACTTAAAAGATCATTTCAGGTTGTATATAAAACAAATTTTTTTTAATGAATTTCATGTGAATAAGTAGAAGGTATTTATTTTTAGGTCAGTGATTCCGAATGGGGGTGGAGGGTGGCAGGAAAGAATGCCTTCCAGGGATGAGCATATCAAAACTGGGGTAGGTGTGGGGTGGAGGCAGTGCTTTTTCAAATTATACTTTGTGAAACTTTTTCTGTCACTGCCTCCACTCTACCCTGAGAAACACTGCTGTAAGCACCACTGATTGAAGAGAGTATGTTAAAAATGTCCTCATTTGATAAGAAATGATTCAAACTACACTTACATGATCCTGGTCTCTAAGCTATCTAACATGACCCAGGAAAGGGACCCTAGTGACATTATGTTAACCATGTCCTAAAGACCTTAAACCAATATGCTGCTGTGACCAGAGAGGCTATATAATGTTGGGCGATCTGAACATTAATTAACACTGGGCCAGACACACGGTATCATAAAATCATCTGCATCTGCCCTTTGAAGAAGCATCGCAGAAATCTGAAACCTATCTCCCACAATGAAGAACCAGTGGTTGTATACATTAGGAAAACTAGGTCCAGAGAGTTAAAATGACTTGTATAAAGACACCGAAATATTTATTGGTGGGTCTAGGCACCAGGTCTCCTAAATTCCAATCTAA